CTTTATGAAAAAAATTGTATAGTAGTCTATTTTCAGGCTGTGCTTCAATCCTACTATAGGACGTGAAACTTATTTTAAAGTGTCAAGCTTGTTCTGTGACTGCAGAGTCGTCATTATAATTTATCACATGCTGAGTGTGGTGGTGCACGAAAGCCACCATCTTGTGTGTGAGACACTCATCTCAGGACTACATTGTGGCATTAATTGTGAAAGGATATACAGTAAGAAAGCTATTGACTGTGCATACATTGCTTTATTTCAACCAGGTCTACCAGGGCCAGTGATATTTCCATACCGGGCACACCACCACACCCATAATGCCTTTCGCTTTGGGTGTGGCTACTCATCACGCCCACTCCATCCCGTCTACCAGAACATACTTACTGAGATTTTCAGCCCTGACTGTGCGTGATGTTGATTGCTCGATCGAATATTTTGCTTTGCTCTCGGCACTCTGGTTTCCTCCCATGTACCACTTTGGGAGTCCCACTTTGTGGGAAAAGTCATTAGTGGTTGTTCTAGGAAATATCTGGCCTGCTATAGGAATGTAGACACTGGCTAAGTCATACACTACCACCGGATAAGGGCCATACACAAAAATCACTCCACGGTGGCGAAATATTAACTATCTTGCCTGGCATGCAAGGAGGTCGTGGGTTCAAACTTGACCCTGACACCTGTATATTTGGAGATTGGATGTTCCCCGCCCACCCCTCAAGTGGATTTTACTCGGGTTCCTCCGTTTTTTTCCTCCATATTTAGAAAAATGCGTTTAGAGTATTTGGCTGCGATAAATTTCCACGTGATGAGCCACTTTGTCGAGCTATCATTTGTGGCCAGGTGGCTTCTGAAAAAGAACTATATAGCTCAGTGGGCCTTACCTGGTAAAATAAAAATCAGTTTAGTTTAAAGTTTAGATGTGGAACACTTTTATGCGTGAGTGCGAGAAGAGCTGCAGCGCACCTCAACCGCAGCACATCGATGGCTTCCTTGATGGCACAGTCGGTGTGGGTGCCACGGCCAATGTACTGGATGGCACTCACGTTCTTCTTCAGTTCGGCTCTCTTGAATGGCAATTCCACCATTGAACTGACCAACTTCACCTCGTCACTGTAGTGTAGCGCTCCAGCATTCCAAGTCAAGTTCCGATCGCACGGAAAGTACCTGTGACATGGAACCAGGAAGGCGGTGTCAAAATCAGAATCTATATTTATCCAGGAAAAAACCGATAAGCTATGAAGCTTTTCTCCACAGATGTCCAGTAGGGGCGGGTCAATATGTGGACAAAACCCAACTGACAAGCTTGTGCGCATGGCATAACCACATTAGCCAGCCATACACTTTTTACACAAAACGCCAGTGCCCTCATTTATACGTTATACACAAAGAAATAGCGCCCTCTATGCGCCAGCACCCTGAGTCCCAATAAATGCAGTGATGAAGTGTGATCAAGTGGCAAACTGAACGGTGTCATTATTCACTATCCAATCTGCATTTGCCCAGAGCCTGCAAAAGGAGGAGCTGTCTCATTGGAGGATGAATTCATGGGGCACGAGCAGTAGTAATTGTCTCAGATCTTTAAAGTCACTTTCCCAGAGGGTTTACAGGTCACTGTATGCGTTTGAGACCGTTCTGTAAGACTTCACGATGTGATGATGAGTCGTGACCATATTATGTGACACTGGCATATGCACCTGGTGTTGAGTTTGTCAATGAACATGTTGGTAAAGTCCTTGATCTTGTCCACCACGGCTTCGTACGGCTTAATTCGCAGCGCCACACTCTCGGACGTGTCCAGCACAAAGTAGATATCGACCGGGCATTCTGCAGGCATTTGGTGGCACACACATTGGACGTGGGGGTCACAGCAAGAGAGTCTCAACCTCAAAATTAACAACTGCCCATTGTCCATCCTCCATCCACATTTACCAGTGCTCTCAATTCAGTTTAGGTAATGACAGCAAACATTGCGTGCATTTGTTCACCAATCATTTCTTAAATTGGAGGACTGGAGTCTGAGACATCCTACTGTTAAGTTGAATTCCACATCAATTGTATTTGCGCGTGTGAAACCTCAATACGTGGACCATGTATTATTGTCATCAACGTGACGTACACAGTATATACAACGTATAATTATCTATAACAAATTTGGATCAAGGCAATACAGAATAAGGATATGTATGTTGCGGAATCCGATGACCTATAAAGCTATTTTTCACAGATGTTCAGTAATACACGCTGCAATGACGACGACCATTATGAATACTGTAACGCTTTGGAGGAATTCATGTCTTTGTGAGTTGAGCGTATTTTACCTTCTACGTGCATAATGCTGCGAGGGCGAGTCTGGGCCATGGAGTCGTGGAGGAAGAAGGCGAAAAGGGGGAGGCAGATGAGGAGTAGGGCACGGGGCAGAGATGAGACGCGTCCTGGCCCCTCCATGATCAGCAGCAGCGGCTCCTACAGCTGTTGATCTGCACACAAGCACAGCAGTGAGCCACACACAGTGGTAAGCTGCACGTACGCACACACAGCAGTGTGCTGCTCAAGCACAGCAGTGAGCTGCACACACACACACAGTGGTAAGCTGCACACACACACAGTGGTAAGCTGCACACACACACAGTGGTAAGCTGCACACACACACAGCAGTGGGCTGCTCACGCGTCACGGTCTAGGGGGAGGTTAAGCTGCTGTGTTTAGAGAACAAACCCCCACCGCCACCCCAGCATCCCAAGCACCGGCCATTTGAGATTTCCGAGAGTCAACATCACCCAACAGCTGGCAACCATCAGCAGCGCATCGTGCTCTTACAAAGATGCGATTGGTGGTGGTGGTGGTGGCACACGCAGACCATGATCTGCCGCTACAGAGTGGGTTCAAATATGTAAACCTGTACGGAACAAGACCGAACTGTTACCGGCGGGTGTCCAGCAGTGATGTGGACATTGTTGATGTGAACAAAAGCCAACGCCTCCAAAGGCTACTGACTAGACCTGCGCAAAGGGAGAGGGTGGGGGGGGCGTGGGGATAACCTGGTGATGGCTGTGGAGCGAACACGCTGCCGAGTTTGTCAACGACTGCCATGGCGAGCCTGACCTCTGTTCATGGACCCTAACGCAACACGAGAGGGCGCGGTGTGACAAGTACCCACGCCCGACCGCCTTTGTCTCCCCAGTGCTGATATTTACGCATCGCACCAGGTACTGTGCTCGTTGAAAATTGAAGAGACATGAGCGGTTCAAATAATTGCTGTCATTTGTGTTGGTCATGAGCTCGAATCGAACTCGGGATGTCAGATATGCCACGTATAACCTTAACAGACTGTTGGGGCGAATGCTGTTAGCGAGCAGCACCACTGAAGGCCGGCACGACAGACGAAGGGGGTGGGTGGCCAACACCACAAAGACAAAGATCCCCCGTATAGCCTGACCAGTGTGTTGGGGCAAGTGCTGTTAGCGAGCACCGATTTGAAGGCCGGCACGACAAAGACAAAAAGACACAGTCATACACTTGATTTGAAGCTTTCGTGACTGCATGAATTAATATTCTTTGGTTCTTTCGGTAAAGTCAAATGCAGAGGTATTTTCTTGCTGTGGGTGTCCCACCTGATGAGGATTGCTTGTGTTGCGATCGAAACGTGATTTGTTTAATTTTATTTCTACCTACGTGACTTTACCGAAAGAACCAGAGAGTATCGTCATACACTTGTCTCACATCTCAATCCTGTAGCTCCACGGAGGGGACTCGCAACCCCTCCACGGAGGGGAGTCGCAACTCCTCCACGGAGGGGGCTCCCAACCCCTCCACGGAGGGGACTAACAACCCCTCCACGGAGGGGACTAACAACCCCTCCACGGAGGGGACTCGCAACCCCTCCACGGAGGGGACTAACAACTCCTCCACGGAGGGGACTAACAACCCCTCCACGGAGGGGACTAACAACCCCTCCACGGAGGGGACTCGCAACCCCTCCACGGAGGGGACTAACAACCCCTCCACGGAGGGGACTCGCAACCCCTCCACGGAGGGGACTAACAACCCCTCCACGGAGGGGACTCGCAACCCCTCCACGGAGGGGACTAACAACCCCTCCACGGAGGGGGCTCCCAACCCCTCCACGGAGGGGACTAACAACCGCTCCACGGAGGGGACTAACAACCCCTCCACGGAGGGGACTCGCAACCCCTCCACGGAGGGGACTCGCAACCGCTCCACGGAGGGGACTAACACCCCTCCACGGAGGGGACTCGCAACCCCTCCACGGAGGGGAATAACAACCCCTCCACGGAGGGGACTAACAACTCCTCCACGGAGGGGACTCACAACCCTCCACGGAGGGGACTCAGATTCTCAGAGCAGGCGATGAAGGCGCGGCGCATGAATGTCGTGGAGTAAAGTTGGTGAGCATAAACTTGCTGCGTGCGATCATCAAGCGCGTAAACGCACAAAAGCTTACAATGCACCGAAATAATACTGCTACCGTACTCACAACGATGTATTATTAACACAGACATAAATCGAGTTGTCAAACGATAAATACGAACAGAGCAACGGCGAAAATGACCAGCGCGTCCAAGAACGCACCGTGACTCTCCGATGCGTAAACGCGCAACGCGCCCAGGGGATGCAAGTGTTCAATTAGCAAGAGGGTGCAAGCAAGTGCCTAGCGTGCTGGTGGTGGTGGTGATGATGATGATGGACGCGTGTGGTGTGATGGTGAAGCAAGGCTGGCCGCGCGCACGGAGCTGCTCACCTTGAGATGCCGGTCGTCAGGTCTTCGGGTCCTCAGGTCTGGGATCTTGCGCTGAGGATGGCCGAGACGGGGGGCGGGGGGAGGAGGAGGAGGAGGTGGTGGTGGAGGGCGTCTGCGCTCTATCTTCTGGGGTCGTTCCCGGCACGATCCCTCCTCTCTCGTCGTCCTCGGCAATAGGTCGGTCCGCACTGAGTGACAGCGGGGCGGAGCGTGGCTCAGCTGCTCGGCATTTCACCTTCAAAACGTGCCGAGAGCCTAGGTGGGCTGGGGGTTCAGTGCGGAGACGGTTCATGTGGTGTGGCGCGGCGGAGTAGCACTTGCCCCCCCGTTTGTCACAGTCTTCGGCAGCCGCGTCGACTCAACGCGAGCACATACCCAAGTGAGTTTATGCTTTGACTCCTCGTTGTTGCTGTTCATGTTTAGCAGTATGCCATGCTCGTTGAGCATCATTGATATATCCGGCGGGTATCGCACACGCGGAATGACGTGGGTTTGACTAAACATTCGGAATTAATTTTAAAATAAACAATGCCCCTTGTTGCGGCGTTTGTGCGAGGCGGTTGTTGATTGATGGTGAATTTGCAAATTCTTCCTCGTTAAGACTTGATGATCACGAGCTGACAAAAGGCACACACATTTTTTTGCATTTCAATGACTTTATTGTTCGATGCGGGAAGAAAGGTTAAATAAATGTGAATGCGTATTTTATATAAATGTTGGCCAAGACGTTGCACATGTTGTACAGGTTCGGCAGACTTTACAATGACCGTTAACGTTTTTCGATATTTGTAAAGCAATTGAAGATATCTCTTCATGAACTGCCTGGCTATAAACCTGAGATTGTGCGCACGGTAGGGGATGATTGATGCATGCCATCTGGGGATCCAAAGAGTGCCACAGCGGCCCTGTCGCGTCCCCGCTTCGGGCCGTGTGTGCGCGACCGGCGTGTTCCATGACGGTGCCTGCAGCCCCGTGTTCTTAGCATCACGCGCAGAACGCCTCTCTGCACCGGCTCGCATGGCCATTGTGCTCTTTCACTCAACGCCACGATGGAGCGAGTGAACGCGCTGATGAGACGCACTACGTTCGCTGCTCGGACATCAGTCATTAATTGGCTTTGCCGCCACCCTCTGCATACATCCCCGATGGCACGCACCAACATCATGAGTTAGTATAACCTAACCTTAATCCAAAACGCCGTCAAAGTGTCTGTACGACATAGTTGGGCAGTGCTAATCAATTCCGCATTCCACATTAAATACTCAAGTCAGATTTTGCATGTAGAAATGATCGCCCCCACCCCTCTATTGCCAGACTAATGCCCGTTTTCATGCCAGGTCCTGAGTTACCTTGTGCTCACAGGGACAGCTGGTACTAGCGGTTGCCCTCTCAAATGTTAAGAGTGAGAAGTGAGGTAGAGCACACTTAGACGTCCCGGGGCATAGGGCGCTATATCAAAATCAAATCATGATCGTTACCGCGGTGCGTGCAGATGGAAGTGGGCGTTCTAGCTCCCTGTAAGCTTTGCACGCCAACCGTATTGTACGTGACCCGAAGTGTGTGCTGTTTTAGATACTGAGGTGCAACAATACATCAAGAGTGTTTAGGTGGTGTACGCAGCTTTGTTTTGTATGAAATTCCTTTGTTCCATGAGTTCGAGGAAAATAACATTTTAATAAATTAAAATGAGAAATGATAGTTGCAATGCATGTTGGAGCAGCATATACCACAACATGACTCGGATCCTCAAAAGTGTAACATTTTGCGTGACAAGTTAGTAATGCAGTAGCAGCATTTTTCCATTAATTCAAACGAAGCAGGTGGCTACTGGGCATGCGGAGCTTTCCAGAGTCTGTGGTGAGGACTCAGAAACGCAGAGATAAATCCATCGAGTTATGTGCTCTGCAAGTTGCCTGGCCCATGTGCCTAGTGCAAGCCTGCCATGTGTTTTTTGTTTAGGGACTTTATTGAAATCCAGCTGGTAGCAAGAGACGTTGGCAGTCAACACTAGCAGACACTGACGGCCGCTTTGAGAAATGTTGTAAATGCAGTCCTTAGGAGTGCATGGATGCCTTCATTTCACATTTCAGTCGGTGCCAGTTCAGCTCCACGTTTTAATCGATGTAAGGTGTACAGCAGCATATGAAACCTACGCAGCAACACACTCAACGGGGCATAATATTGACACTTAGAAAAGGCTCACTGAGTCTCAAGACCTCTTCAGGAAGGTCCGCAAATTGCTTGTTGGGCTAATTTACATTCTGTAATGGGTGTTTTGCACAAAGCAGAAATCCAGAAGCTAGAGGAGACCCAAATATATAAGGGGACAACTCAAAAAAATAGTGCAGACAAATTCATAGACCCACTTACTGTACTGCCATCTCCTGGCCACTTTGTATCCCAGTGCATTTGGGAATTTCACACATGTACATGCTCTACCAACTCTTGCGTCCAAAGTGCAGGATTGCAGGTGTGCGCTATCATGCCGTGTATTTCACGACAATGTGGAGTCTCTGTACACATTTACTTTTGTCGCATGGAGTTTACGTTAATTTGAAAACCGCTGACCCAGAAATATAATGGAAAATATGACTCCGGAAAGAATGTACCACAGCCTCTGTCTGGAAAAGTTTAGAGAGCAGATGAGAAAGAGGCTCATGTCTGCTACAGCAGCATTCCATCGGTCACAAGGGAACACTTCTTTAAAAAAAGGCAAAACGAACAACGCTATGAAACAATCATTAATCACTTAAAAATGTTATCCCCTTATACATCTGTATATTGCTACACACGAATGATATGATTCGGCTTTCACTTTTTGGAAGGTATCTAGTTATAACCTCTTCCAAGATGTCTGGTGAGTGTGGAAGTGTAGACCAAAATGTACTCTCGAGGTGCTCTCTAGAGCTCCATTTGAGTCCCTTCTACCAACAGTTGAATGAGGACGTAATTTCAGTGTTGCACTTTATAGTTATAAAGTTCTCTTGAGGAATTCTGAATAAATCCAATGATAATCCGTCTGACGACCAGAACACTGGTTGGATGGCTCAGAGATGGTGGCACATGCCTGTAATCCAGCACTGTGGAGTTAGCGAGGGTTGGTCGATTTCACTCTTGTTGTGAAACTCCCTTCCCGTGAGCGTCGAGGTCCCATACCCTGGCTTGCCAGGAGAATTCGATACTGTACACCAAGAATGTGGACTCCACCTGTTTCGTCTGTATGGGATACAGTGTTTCCACCTGGCACGTGTTGTGTTTTATCCGGGTGCTTCGGTTTCCTCCCACTTGTAAACACTCATTAATTGGCCAATAACATGTTTATATAGAGGACCGCAGAGTTTGGGCAATTGTTAGCACCGAATATCCCGTGGCTGCCTTCCTGCTTGTCTGCGATTCCTCGCACCTCGCTGGATTCACAGGGCAGAAACCATTGTGCCAAATAATAATGGTCTCTTTAATATATCTATCTAACACAGCCTCACTGAGTCTTAAGCCTTTTTCAGGAGGGTCCTGTATTGGAATGGTAGGGTAATTCGAAATTCCCTTTTTAAAGGCTCTCCGGCATAATGATAATGAAGCTCTTTAACGTACTGTATTTCAAAAAATGCATCTACAGCCATGGTCTGACATATTAAATATGAAATTCCTTAAGAAACAGTGTACCTTCCCATTGCTGGTGCTGTCTGAGGAATGCATTAATTGTGAATATTGTTTTTCCACTCCCGTAGTACAAAATGGGAGTCCATCCAAGACTACTGCTGTGTGTGTTGCTCACAGCACTGGTCGGCTCCTGGCCCACTGCAGCTCAAAAAACGGGTAAAAAGATGACATCACCATTTTAAAAACCAGTGCCTACGACTGTTTTATCTCAACCAGCATTGCATGGGTTTTGTTTGCCATGTATAGTTCTCACCATAAACTAATAACAATAAACTAATTTACAAACTGTACAAGAAGTAGCATTATAAATAACTTTAATTTACCAATTCGCACTTCAGTAGTTTTATTGTGGTTGTACATGCATATAATTGTAGTGATTTTACAATCATTTTACACACAATTGTTACGCTACTGTTTGTTTACAGATTGCAGCAAGGCTACTGTGGCTGACATCGTGTTTCTGATCGATGGCTCCTGGAGCATTGGAAACGTCAACTTCCAGCAGATGAGATCATTCCTCTACACACTGGTGGAGGGACTGGACGTTGCCCCAGACAAAGTCCGAGTTGGTATGGCCCAGTACAGTGGTGATGCCCGCACAGAATTTCTGATGAACACCTACGCTGACAAGGCAAGCCTCCTGAATTACCTCAAGACCCTGCCATACAAGGGGGGAAACACCAAGACGGGCCTGGGCATAGAGTTCCTCATGCAGAATCATCTGACAGAGGCTGCCGGGAGCAGGAGGGCCCAGAATGTGCCCCAGGTGGTCATCATCATCACGGATGGAAAGTCTCAGGATGACGTGGCTGGGTCTGCAGAGAGGATGAGGAACATGGGCGCCTCTGTCTACGCCATCGGCATCAAGGATGCAGACATCAGTGAGCTGGGACAAATGGCCAGCAGCCCCGCCAGTAAGTTTGTCTACAACGTGGATGACTTCAGCGCTCTGGCCGGTATATCGGAACAGATCTTGCAGACCGTGTGCGTCACCGTCGAGGAGATTACCACACAACTTGGTGAGTTGTTTTCTACCGCGTTACCAAGATAAATAAAGAGTACAGATGGCAGCATCTATTCAATTTCATTCAGTGTGTCTCTTAGGGATTTTTCCCCTTAAAAGTTACCTTATATATACGCATATAACTTCATGTTTTGATGTATATATGATAAAAACGTATCATTTTGTGCAATGCTATGTTGAAAATAGTATGAGTTTCATGGACTGGTTATCTCCTTCTCTTTGGTCATTGCCATGCTTGCCCATTTCCTCCCTATTGCAGTGATCGACACACAGACAAAGTACGCAGACATCGTATTCCTCGTGGACGGGTCGGACAAGGTCGGTGGGAAAAACTTTGCAGAATTCAGAAACTTCATATCCAAATTTGTCGATTCACTAGACGTAGGAGAGGACAAAATTCGTATTGGCATCGCCCAGTACAGCGATGATAGTGAGGACGGTTTCCTGCTAAAGAGCCACAGCACCAAAAAGCAGGTCATCAAAGCCATCAAGAAAATTCAGTTCAAAGGGGGCGACGCCTACACAGGAAATGGCCTGCAGCAACTCTTGGAGAGCCAATTCACAGCAGAAGCTGGCAGTCGGAAGGATCTGGGGTACCCACAGGTAGCCATACTGCTCACGGGCAGCTTGTCGGAGGACGAGGTGGAGCAGAGTGGGAAGGAGCTGCGTCAGAGCGGTGTGCGCGTCTACGCAGTGGGAGTGGACCAGGCCGATGCCACTGAGCTCGAGCAGGTCGGTAGCGAACCGACTGAGGAGCACGTCTTCTATGTCAGCAACTACGGTGGGCTCGGCGGCCTTCAGAGCAGGATGAGTCTAAGCCTCGCCACGTTGCTCGGAAGTGCCACGGCAGAGGAAGACGGGGGAGGTGAGAGAAGGGCCCACGCCACCATGGCTTCTACGTTTAAGCTCCACACGTGTAAAGCCACATGGGTCTCAAATAATTCTTGGGATTTCAAGGCAATTGGGCATGTCAGAAAATTGGCAATGATTTCATGTCATCATAACTTGACTTTAGTAATAACTTTCTTTTTAACAGTGACAGTGGTGTTGCTTTGTTAGTTTGTGTTAAATAAAAAATAGTTTATGGTTGAATTACACATAACGGTGGTCTGGACAACATTTGTTGGAGCACTAGTCAACTATGATTTTATGAAAACTATTGAGCATGGCACTATGTAATGCATTTATGTACATATTAAATTAAATCTAAGCGCTGCTTAATTGTATCTATTTTTTCAGCTTGCAGCAAGGCAAGTGTGGCTGACATCGTGTTCCTAATCGATGGCTCCTGGAGCATTGGAAACATCAACTTCCAGCAGATGAGATCATTCCTCTACACACTGGTGGAGGGACTGGACGTTGCCCCAGACAAAGTCCGAGTTGGTATGGCCCAGTACAGCGGTGATGCCCGCACAGAATTTCTGATGAACACCTACGCTGACAAGGCAAGCCTCCTGAATTACCTCAAGACCCTGCCATACAAGGGGGGAAACACTAAGACGGGCCTGGGCATAGAGTTCCTCATGCAGAATCATCTGACAGAGGCTGCCGGGAGCAGGAGGGCCCAGAATGTGCCCCAGGTGGTCATCATCATCACGGATGGAAAGTCTCAGGATGACGTGGCTGGGCCTGCAGAGAGGATGAGGAACATGGGCGCCTCTGTCTACGCCATCGGCATCAAGGATGCAGACATCAGTGAGTTGGGACAAATGGCCAGCAGCCCCGCCAGCAAATTCGTCTACAATGTGGACGACTTCAGTGCTCTGGCTGGTATATCGGACCAAATCTTGCAGACCGTGTGTGTCACCGTCGAGGAGATTGTGACAGAAATCAGTGAGTGTTCATTCTATTGAAATAATTTGACCACCATTTATTTCCTCATATAAAACATACACTTTTTAAAACTAATAAGCTGTATAATATAACCATATTTGGTTTATTTTCCAGGAAAGCCCAAATTTGCTGACATTGTTTTCATCATGGATGGATCGGACAACGTTGGAAAAGCAGGCTTTGAGGACATGCGCAAGGTTGTCTATAGAATTGCCAGCATCCTAGACGTAGCTCCAGACCAAAATCGGATCGGAGTGGTGCAGTACAACGATAATGGACATGCAGAATTTCTGCTCAACACTCACAGCAGCAAGGAGGACGTCCTCAAGAACATCCGGCAGTTCAGGTTTAAGGGGGGCATTGCTAACACTGGAGCTGGGATACGTTTTGCAGAGGAGAGGCTTTTCACAGAGCAAGCTGGCAGTCGTAAAGCCGAGGGTTTTGCTCAGATTGCCGTTCTTCTAACTGGAAGTGCATCTCAAGATGAGGTGGGTCAGTACGCGTGCATGGAGGAGTAGAGAGGCGAGTAGGACGTTGAAAGTGGTATTGATAACCAATATTACTAAAAGGCAAATAATTTTTGTATCACATTCATCTTAAGCGAAATACTTAACTTGTCAATTTTTCACTTGTTAATAGTGATAGTCAAGTGTGCTTACCAATACACAACAACAACATATGTGGTTCGATCTCCCAGCACGGTGATTGAAACAATGGGCACGTTCATTAAATCCCCCGACGCCACTCTTCACCCAACATTATAAATATGTACACCCACAGTTATAAATGTGTATTTATAATTATAAATGTGTACACCCACAGACCGTCTCTTGGCAAGTTGTGTGTGGGTAAGACTTGGGTACTCCCACATCTTCAAAGACGTCTTGTCAGCCTGGAAGATTAGGCCGAAATAACCTCTACAGTGGTTCTATAGAGCTTCGTCCAGTGGAGACCCTTCCTCCAGTAATGGTGTGGCAAAGTAAATTCAAGGGCCCCACTCTAACCTTCCCTGTTTTCAATCGGGATGACTGTGGCATGGGGGCTGATATGATGTGTGTGCTCGTGGGTGCCATGCAGGTGGAGCGCCGTGCAAAGGCGCTCAAAGACTCAGGAGTGACTGTATTTGCACTGGGAGCCAACAAAGCCAACCTTAATGAGCTGAACCTGATTGGAAGTGACCCTTCCGCCAACTTCGTCTTCTACCAGCGGAACTTCCGTGGATTTCTCTCATCTCTTGCACGGATCCTGCAGAGCTTCCTAGGTTTAATTCAGATCAATATTGAAGTCATCGAAGGAGGTATGCTACACTTCTGCTGACAGGCGTCATGCCTCAATGATTGCATTGTCAGCAGCTGCTTCTCGTGCTTTGTAAGCCACTCACATCAAACATTGTTAGATTGTTCGTTAATGGTGACAGAGGTGAAAATGTTGCCGATTTTACAATTTCCTTTCTTCGCCCCTTCAGAGAGATACGCCGACATCGTGTTCCTTTTGGATGACACCGACAATGTTGGTAGCACTAATTTCGAGGAACTGCGCAAGCTGGTCATCATGCTTACCGAGGGCTTGAATGTCGGAAAAGACAAGGTGCGCATCGGCATGGCCCAGTACGGAAGACAGCCGTCCACAACTTTTTTCCTGAACGCGCATGACACCAAGGAAGAAGTCGCGGCTGGCGTGCGCAGCGCCGTTTTCCGCGGAGGGCCTCGTGCGAACACGGGCTCGGGGATGCGCTTCTTGCAGGAGAACCACTTTGTAGAGCAGGCTGGCAGCCGCGTCCGCCAGGGCTTCCCACAGATTGCCGTGCTGCTCACGGGTAGTGCCTCGCAGGACAATGCCTCTATGGGGGCCGAGGCAATCAAGGGGGCTGGCGGAACTAGTGTTCGCCATTGGGGCCAACCGGGCCCGCCTCGCTGAGCTCAACAGGGTGGCCAGTAGCCCCCCGGAAAATCACGCGTTCTACGTGAACAACTTCGGGGACCTTAGTGGCCTCTACACACAGCTCATGGGACGCTTCACCACCTTGTTGCGGAGAGATGAGGAGGAAGAGGGTTGGTATTTTGTTTAGTTTCCTATTTGCATGAATAAGTAAAGCTGAATACAGGTATTTTTTTCTTTATTCCTGGTATCTTTCCACTCATGTGGGGTCTGCCTTCCGGATACCTTTTTCCACTCTTTACCATGCTGGGCCATCTCCAATCCTGGATCAACACTTCTAACTACCTCTCTCAAGGCCTGCCTCTCAGTCTTTGTCCTGGTGCTGCCACGTTCGTGACCTTTCTTCCGATTGTGGTGCTCTCTTCTTACGACACGTCCCAGCCACGCAAATGTTTGTGAAATATGATATACTTTTTGCAATCGTATAGAGACAGCTTCTCCATGGCATCTTGAGGCTTCGCTGAGCCCGCTTGTGCGTTTGGTGGAACACAGAAGTGGAGAAGCCGTACGCAGACGTCGTGTTCCTGCTGGACAGCTCGGACGCAGTCGGGCGCAAGAACTTCGAGGGGATGAAGACGTTCGTGGGGCAGATCGTGGAATACCTCGACGTCGACGCCAGCAAGGTCCGCGTGGGCCTGGCGCAGTACAGCGATGCCCCCCGCAACGAGTTTTTCCTGAATACACATGGCAGCAAACCCGACGTGCAGGCAGCCATCCAGCTGGCGCACTTCACTGGCGGTGGAGGTGCCAACACGGGCGAGGCCGTGCGCTCGCTTCTGCAGAATCACTTCACGGCACAGGCTGGCAGCCGGAAGGACGAGGGCTACACACAGATCGCTGTCATCCTGACGGGCAGCGACTCACAGGATGTGGTGTGTACCATTGTTGCTGTTGTTGTCGGTTGTTATTACTGTTGACACACACATACGTGTATAAAGGTCTGAAAATGTGCCAGTGTCTGTCGCGTTCAATATGAAACAGAATTGGACTCATATCGTGAAATGTGTGCTCACTGGGACTCGTTAGTGTGGCAGCTTCTTGATGGTTGCGGGGAAGGTTAAAGGATTGAATCGAATACTTTTTTTAAAATTAATAATGGGACAGGCGATTTATTTAAGCGCATGAACCATTGTATTACACTCAGGTCCCTCTCTATATATACATACAGACATACACTGCACTACCAGGACCTGGAAGGATACACGTAGGCAGTGCTGCTCTATCAGGCCGGTGGCTGCATGACCATCATCCTGAATCATGCTTGATTCTCATGTGTCCTGGTTGACAAATGATTCAAAATCGAGTGTCTGATTTGTCATTCTGCTACGCTAAAATGAAGATCAGGTTTAAAGACTCTAAAATTGGTTCGTTGACGTTCGACCTTTTAGAAATAGAAATGCTTGCATGGAGATGCTTGCAGTTAGTATTTTTTAAACATTGCACTTAAGCCCTTTGCATCATTAGGCCTCACAGCATAGTGACATTTGTGCACTGCTATGCAGTGATTATATTGGAAATATGAAGCATTGTCTGACTCTGGCTCGTGAAAAATGTATAATCATTACTGTCGCAGATGCATCACACTTATCAAGGACGAGTAGATGACACCTTGTGTCACCAAAGCTGCACCCTGGGACAATCTTGCTCAAGGCTTTTGCTCTGTCTACACCCCTTGGACAGGTGGAGCAGCATGCAGCAGCCCTGAAGCAGGAGGGAGTGAAGGTGTTTGCGCTAGGAGCCGAACAGGCCCGGCTTCCTCAGCTCAATGCCCTCGGCAGCCTCCCTTCGGAGCAGCACGTCCTCTATGCGCCCAACTTCAAAGAACTCTTCAGCTCATTCGACCGCTTCCTGCAGTACCTCCGGCTCAAAATACACACTGGCATCTTAGCTGGAGGCAAGTGTTGAATGAACCAAGTGTCTGGAATATACAATGTGAAGCACGTGCTCGATGCAATCATTTTTAAACACCTACAGAACAGCACAGACGGATCATTGGAGGGCTGATCGTAGCGTCACAAAGTGTCATTGCCATTTACTGGGGTGTTAAGGTGCCCATGCCGTGTATCTCTCCCACAGAAGGGTACGCGGATGTGGTCTTTCTGGTGGATGGCTCGGATGCGGTGGGTCATGATAACTTCCGACATTCACTGGGGCTGGTGAGCCGCGTGGTGGATGCACTGGATGTGGACAAGGACCGCATCCGCATCGGCCTGGCTCAGTACAGCGGGGATCCCCGCGCAGAGTTCTTCCTCAGCACACATGCCGCCAAGAAGGACGTCACTGATGCCATCCGTGGCATCCGCTTTAAAGGCAATGGCTCTTCATGACCATCTGTTTATTTGCAGAAATATGTCGCCATGATGTAGTCTTTCTGTTTGTAAGATTTGTCGTGGATCACAGGTAATTGCACGAGATGCTTACAATCTAAACGTAACAATAACATGGAAATCTAACAGTAAGTATCCAGGCAAAATGTCTTCCTACTCTATGGGTCTTTTGGTAAAGTCACGTAGATAGAAAAATAATACAAAATCACGACGTTTCGATCGCAACGCAAGCAATCGTCTTCAGGTGAAAAAATACAGTGAGAGAGCTGCTGAAGCAGGATGTTATATAGGCCTGAGATAGGTGCAACCCAAGGGTATCCAATGGGTTCTCCCTTATCTCCAGTGGTAGCCAATGTTTTCATGAAAAAATTTGAGACAGATGCCATCCAGGCATCCATGCTATGTCCTTCCTTGTGGAAGAGATACGTAGATGACACGTTCGTCATCTGGCCACATGGCCTGCCAGCATTGAACAAATTCTTCAAGCACATCAATTCCATACACCTGGCCATCAAATTCACCATGGAGGTGGAAAAGAATGGCAAGTTACCATTCTTGGATGTTTTAATCGAAAAGAGACCAGATGACTCATTGGAAAGCCACCCACACGGATGCCTATCTAAAACCTGACTCCCACCACCATCCAGCCCAGAAACATTCCCTCATTAAAACTCTACACCATAGGGCTCGTTGCATTTCCGACCATCACTACTTAGCCAGTGAACTGGAGCATGTACACCAAGCCCTCAAGATGAATGGATATTCGGACTGCACAATCCATAAAGTTGTCACCCCAATCAAAACCATCACCTTGCCATACATAGGAGGGGTCACCAAAAAGATTTCCAAAATCATGAGCAAACACAAGATCCAGGTTCGATTCAACACAGTACATAAAATTCATGATCTAATCACATCTGTGAAGGATGTGATCCCTGACATGCAATACCCCGGTGTCTACAAACGAAGTTGTGTCTGCGGCAGTAGTTACATTGGGGAAACTAAGCGACATGTCTCAGACTGTGTTCGTGAACACAAGGCAGAACTGAAACACGGTAGGACAAATACCTCGGCCATGGCTGATCATTGTTTTAACGCTGTGGGCTCACACGAAATAGATTTTTCCAAGACGAAGGTACTTTGCAAACCTACTGGCTATCAACAAAGATTTGTTTATGAAGCCATCTAAATATATAAACACAGACACAATTTCAACCAAGAAGATGGGTACAAACTGAGCAATCACTGGAAGGACGTTATTAACCACTTTAAGTCATAATTGGCTCTGATGTTTCCATCCTACCTGCTGATGTTAGCAGTTATTTTCGACTCTCTGAGTTGCATTGCCAGGTTGGAGGTCTTTGCATTGACAGGCTGGTTGTCTTACTAGTGTAGAGATATTGATGGGATGTGTACACTTACCTGCAGGGGCAGTCAGGGTCCAGTAGGGGCAGTCGTTATATCCCTAGCCCAAAGGTAGGTGGGGGGCTGCGGGGTGTTCTAGGATCCCCCGGGATCCCTCCCGATAGGAGGGGGCTGCGCGGTGTCCTGGGATCCCCCGGAGCCCCCTCTCTAGAAGGTAGGTGGAGCCAGGGCTGACGTACGGGTGCTGGGTATAAAAGCTGGACCCCGGGAAGGGTCTGGGGCCAGTCCAAGACAGAAGCCAGAAGACCAGCTAGATAGGACCCTGGGACCCCTAGCCCCGCTGCCCCTGTAAGGGCCGGGACTCTGTGTGGCTCAGTGGTGAGACCCTGGGTACCCCTGGCCCGACGTCCTTATAAGGGCCGGGTCCGAGTGGGCCAGTGATCGAAACCCGCACCCTGGCTAGGTCGGGTTAGAGTAGCCTCCCCTAGGCACCCGTAGCCGGAGGACCCAGAGTAGTGGTCCCGTGTTAGGGCACGTTAGCCCAGAGGCAGTACCTCCCCAGGCAGTGCTTATAGAAGGGCCGTTGCCCTGAGTGAGTTGGGGCTGTACTGCCAAGTGTTGTATCAAATAAAGTGTTGCCTCCCAGATCCGTCTCCGACGTCTCTAGAACTCACTACACCAGCACAGTCACCGATGCTCCTTTCCCTCGTTGTGGGGGTAGCTCTCGTTTTTTCACAATACAATGGCCACCCCCACAGCCTCAGGGCTCCCTCCGATTTTACATTTACATGCAAATACCATCTCTAACCCCGCCCACTTACCCTTGGGCTGCACCCATCTCAGACATCATGCTTCAACAGCTCTCTCGCTGTATTTTTTCACCTGAAGACGATTGCTGGTGTGCAATCGCAACGTCGTGATTTTTATTATTTAAAATTTTTCTATCTACGTGACTTTACCGAAAGACCCAAAGAGTATGAATTCCTGCAGTCACGAAAGCTTTAAGTCAAGATTAAAAATGTCTTCCTGTTCAAATAAGCATGGGGCAAAACTGACCCCCATTGGCAGCTGTAACCAATGGGCAAAATTTCCCATTCCTTTTGCAGGTGCCACTCTGCCAGTGTCACTGGGCCAGATAAAGATAATGAATGGTGAATACGTTTTTTTAATTGTATTGTGCAGAGTGGTAACCTTGCTGGTTTATCTCTGAGCAGGCGGACGGTCTGGCAACATGGGTGTCGCGCTGCAACACCTCAAAGACAACCACTTTGTGGAGGCGGCAGGCAGTCGTGTGAAGGAAGGCTTCCCACAGATTGCCGTGCTGGTGGCTGGGAGTGGTTCAGGAGATGATGTGCTGGCAAATGCCCAGGCTCTCAAGAATGATGGCACTACCGTGTTTGCCATTGGCGCTGGTGCTGCTAAGTTGGACGAGCTCGTCACGGCCGGCAGTGACCCAGAAAAGGATTATGTCTTCTACCAGAGAGACTTTCGCGCGCTGTCCGGCCTCTCGGGGCAGCTCGCCGAAGGCCTTTACTCGCTGATGAAGCGGGACTCTGATGAAGAGCGTGAGTTTTCATTAAATGACGACCCTCAGCAAGCCACTCATTTATACGAACCACTTTTCAATACAAACCATAATATTTTGCGAACAAGAATAAACTAGTGCCATACTGAACTTTCAATGCCATATTTGTATGCGATTTTAATAAATGCATTCCTCTCTTATGTGTTTCCAAGTTGTACCACGTGTTGCTCAGAGAGTGATGCAGCACAACCATTGAAAACCTACATACAAATGATTTATTTGCGGTTTAATTTTTCCTTCTGCAGAATGTGCAAAGGTGGACAAGGCAGACATCGTGCTCCTCATCGACGGCTCCTGGAGCATTGGCCTCGCTAACTTTCAGCAAATGCGTGAATTCCTCTACTCGATCGTTGATGGGCTCACTGTTGGAAAAGAGCAGGTGCGCATCGGCATGGCCCAGTTCAGTGGCGACCCTCGGACAGAGTTCCTCCTGAAGACGTTCTCGAGCAAGAAAGACATCTTGGACTATATTAAAACCCTCCCCTATAAGGGCGGCAATACCATGACGGGCAGGGCCCTGGAGTTCATCTCTGATAACCACTTCACAGCTGCGGCTGGGAGCAGGAAAGCTCAGAATGTTCCTCAGATTGCAGTGGTGATAACGGACGGCAAGTCTCAGGATGACGTCGAGGTGAAGAGCTTGTACAATTTTATAACTGCACACGGCATGCACAGCTTTTAAGCCGCATTATTTAGTGAAATGCACGTCTCAATCATAGTTATGTTAACATATAATTGATTTGAAATTAGCTGGTGTTAAAGGGGGAATAATCTATTTGAAGTAATTTGCATGTGATTGAAATAAAAATAAAAAAAACGTGAAAGAAAAACGATTATATGCTCTGCATGACAGTGTTCAATTCTGTGACACACGTGTGCGGGCTTCCTCCACTAGGATGCGGCAGAGAAGCTGCGTAAGCTCGGCATCGCGGTGTACGCCATTGGCATCAAAAATGCCGACTTCCACGAGCTGCAGGAGATCGCCAGCCAGCCATCCTCAAAGTTCACCTACAATGTCGTCGACTTCTCTCAGCTGAAGGGCATCGTCTCCGACATCATTCAAACCGTGTGCTTCACCGCCGACGAGATCCAAACTAATGCCTTTAATCCAGGAGACTCCGTAATTGACATTGGTGAGACCTTTTTCCTCTGTCTGCAACGAGATAACATTCAGGAGAGATGCTGCTAGCAGGATTGGCTGCTTCTCCCTTGGAAAAGCACCCAGCCTGCCCCGACCACACAAATGTTGAATTTCTTGTTGCTAGCTCAGAACTCCCTTGTTTGAGTTTGCAAGAGTAGAATCTTTTTTCACAAACTGCAGCAAATAATTTGTGGTAATCACTCCCAAAAGTGCACGTTGTTTGCACAAATATTTAAAAAGAGATATGCAAATTAGATCAATGCAAGGCACGAAATGAACTCCTGATGAATATGTTACCCTTTAGTACCTTCGAGGCTCCCTGATGGTGCCACTCAAGTGAATATTTAGTGGTGGACCCACAGGGCAATTGAAACTCGGCTGTCAAGGGTGAACTTTATCCTGACAAATACACGTTTCTGCTCAAACTCTGATCTATGGAAATGTACTTGGGAGGAGCCAAATGTTCGTGGAATTGTATGTGGAAGTGGAAAGAAATGTATCAAAGCTGCTGGGACAAGATGCAAAGAATGTCTTGTTCCATATGGCCCAGTGTGAGCTCTGTGCTGCATTCCCATCCTTCCAGCCACTGTAGGTACCTTCACACCCAGTTAGGGGCCATTCATTTAGTACGTACGCAAAAATCTGTCAAAACTTGACCCCTCCCTCCCTGTACACGCGCGTACTTTTTACCCCCCCCCCCCCTGCGTACATACGATTGACGCACCCCCACCCCGAATCCTATAGAATGGCCGATATTTAATTCACGTAGAAACGATCAAGGATTCATAATATTAACGTGTTTAAGCAAACAGATAGTCCACCGCCGCACTATCTAACTTATTTGAAGGCCAGTGTAGACAAATTATCGAGGCTTCACCCCCCCCTCTGTTTCCTATGCGTACGTACATTGTCAGTAGACCCCCATACGCAAGCGTACGCATTTGCGTTAACCTCGCCTCCCCCCTCCATGCGTACGTACTAAATGGATGACCCCTTAATTGCCAACAAGTATTGTGTTCAATTAATGATACAGTGCCTTAGTTAGAAACACATGTTGCTCATGTGAATAAATGCCTTAATTGTACACGGGAAGATTGTTGGAAAACTTTCACAGGACTTTCCAACTATAGCATCTGCATTTATGCTCATGGAAGAGAGTCAAGGATGTGTCATCCTGCTCAAACACAAGTTGAAATGTTCTTATCTCCAGTGATGGCCTGAGCCAGTGGTGGAAATTCCACATTATTATGATGGGGCCACTGTGTTTAGTTTGTTGTCCTTCCCTCACACCTTTGATTAGCAAGGTTGACTACGTACGGTGCGAAAGAAGTTCAACATACATCCATGCCTATTTTAATTTCCTACATATATATAATAACAATGATAATAACATGTGTGCAGCCCTTTGTAAATCTATTGCTAAATGAAGGCCTCCCCACACTAGGTTTACCATGAAGGTTGTTAGGCCATAGGACCAGTTCAATAAAACTTGGGCAGCTAAGTTCATGATGCATTGCGCGAACCACAGCGCCACCCATGCACTCCAAATAATAATCATAATGCTCTTTATTTATCCAATAGTCTCTCACTAAGGACTCTTTCAGGGGGATCTTGAGATCTTTTTCAGTTTCTTGCTGTCCTTCTTGAAGTAATGACTCGATATGTGATTGCCGCAGTGCATTGGCGGCTCGAGCAAAAAGTGCCCTGTTCTCCCGGCTCTGCGCAGACTCGCTCAAGACGAAGTTCGCCGACGTAGTGTTCTTGCTGGACGGCTCGACGGGTATTCGCTCCGTCTTCGACGAGGTGCGCAATGTGGCCACCAACATCGTGGACAAGCTGGACGTGAGCCAGGACCGAGTGCGTATCGGCGTAGCTCAGTACGGGGGGGCACCACGCTCCGAGTTCGTTCTGCGCACGCACGACAACAAGGAGGCCGTGCTCGCCGGCATCCGCAGTACCAACGCCAAAGGCGAGTTCCCCTGTGGTGCAGCTGCCGTCCATTGATCCGCATCTCTGATGAGCACGGTTGGCTATGTACGGTGCAAGAGAAGTTCAACATGCAAGCATGCGTACATTCCACTTTCAGCGAGAGAGTGAGCGGCGGCATGGTAGTGACGGCTCACAGAAAATCCCTGGGTTTGATCTTCCACTAAGATGTTTGTGCTTTTTGTGTTTAGTTTGTTGTCCTTCCCCCACACTTCTAATTCGCATGGTTGGCTACGAACTGTGCGAAATAAATTAAACATACATACATACAAGCTTATGGTACACCATAAACCGCATCCACTGTACAAACCATGGCAGATGTTAATACCTGATGCACGAACGGAATATTCAAAACTCTACAGTGTGCGACTGTAGTCATCCAGAAGAGACTGTACAACATATAACAATGCGATGCCTGATCCACAAATACGAAGGAGACATCACAATGATACCCTCCGCTGCTCCTGACACGCTTGTCTAGCTTGACCATCTGCATATGGAATTGTAGTTGTTGCTCAGCGTCTACATCAGCCATAGGAAAGAAAAAGAAGACCGCTCACAGCGTGGCCAAGGATGAGCTATGACAGCACGGATGTGCTCATCTCCTCCTATTCACGTCTGCAGTACATCCTTTTTCTCTAGAAGGTCCCCCATGTTGTCTACAATGGCAGATTGATTGTTCTCTGTTGGCTTTTGTTAGCAGTGCCCCTTAGGTTAAGCTCTATTGGCCTTGTGATGTTTGTTATATTTTCCCCAAAGTCTCCCCTCCAAAAAGAAAATAGTGGTCTGATTGGTATTTCATTTGTGTTAATGAATCCATTGGTCATTTGTGTTTAACAAGCACCCTTTTCACATTATCTCTCTAACGCATAATCAAAATAATTTGTTTTCATATTTTATTAACTCGGAAGCATTGCATTTGTTACATCTGCATTCTAAAGTTTCTTCGGAATTATTTATTTACTTAAGGTTATGAATTATGTAGTTGGATAACAGACAATACTATTCTCAAGAAGAAGCCAGTGAATCACATCTGGGAAGTTTCTGGCCTTAATCCAAGCTTTGCTGCAGTACTTTTGATCTGAGAGCCACATTTTGGCAAGGCCTTCAGACTTGTGGAAATGATTTAAATAGGTCAATTTTCCAATGAATGCCATTTCCTGCTGCACACTTATTATAAATATTCACTGTAAATTTTTAAAAGGAAATTCTAATTTGAAGCAAAAGCCTAGATTTTATGTATGAAAATAAAAATGGAGATAATCCTTCAATCCTACATTCGTGTTGCCACCACTGCCTCCCCTACCCCTACTCACACCACACTCTGTCCGGGCAGGCGGAGCCCCAAATCTGGGACAGGGCATCCGTTTCCTGATGGAGAACCAGTTTGTGGAGCGAGCTGGGAGCCGTGCAAAGCTCGGCTATCCACAGATTGCCGTCATCATCTCGGGCAGTGCTTCAACCGATGAGATCCAGCAGCGCGCTTCAGTTCTGCGGAAGTCGGGAGTGAAGGTGTACGCTGTGGGGGCCGAGCGCTCCAAGCCCGAAGAGCTCGTCCAGCTCACGGGTGGAGACGCTCGGCTGACCGTCAGCATGGACCGCTTTAGCGAGTTTGCCTCGCGCTTACCCAAAGTCCTCAAGCGCATCAACAACCTCGTGGACAAAGACCTGGCGCTGCAGCTTATGGGATTAGCACTAGGTGTGGCGCGAGATTGATTACAGTTTCCAGCGTGCATGTAAATTTAAATGAGTAACTTATAGTGTCACACTTTTCTATATCCCATACCTCTCTGCTCCAGAGATAAACCTTGAACACAAACTTGAGCTCGTGAGATTTGAATGTTCTTGTTAACAATGTTTCTTTGCGCATGTAGACAGAGTGTACACACACGCGTGTCGGAGCTCCTCTCTCGCGATTCCCCCCACTCCTTGCGTTCTTGCCCCGCCAGGCTGCCAGCACGTGCCCAAAGCGGACGTTCTCTACATAATCGACAGCTCGAGCAACATGGACGAGCTCAACTTTGAGCGTGCCCGCCGATTCCTCTTCACGATGGTCGCGGGCTTTCCCGTGTCAGCGGATGACGTGCGGGTGGCGGTCGTGCAGCTCGGCGGTGAGCCGGCTGTCGAGTTCCGCCTCGATACGCACGCCACCAAGTCGGATGCACTGGACGCGGTGCGCGCCCTGCAGCTCCGTGGAGGGGCCCCCCGCCTTGGCGCCGCAATTGACCTGTTGCGCAACACCCTGTTGCCGGCCAATGCCGGCGGGCGCAGCCCCACCATCCCCCAGGTGAGAGCGCAGCAGGGGGTGATGTCACGTGCCACCACACATTCCGCCTCGATGGGCTCCTGTCCTTCCCCTCCATGGTAGTGTGCGCCGACATTGAGAGCAAAGTGCCGCAAGACTACGGAGCCGCACCTCTGGTTAGTAAAGTTGGATACATACGGTGTGAACGAAGTTCAACACACATACGTTTCAAGAGATCTTACTCCAAGCACGGTCGTCCAGCTTTCGTCGCGATTTGAGTGAAACAGATCTTATGTTTGCGTGTCTTGCATTTGCTTTGCTGTTTGGATTTTTTTTGCGCATTTGATCGTTTACACAGTTGTAATGCATAATTGTGCATCGTACTTTTTTATGGTCGCACTTTTGGTGATCTTTGAATGGTGCATCAGATAGACAAACTCACAACAAATACAAGAAAGTTAAATGAGACAAATGTACTACTCAGAGACTTTCAAATTCAGTTCATGACAAGGTGAAACTAAAAATGCCAATGCCTCTTGAGCTTTACAAAATCAGCAACCCCAGAACGAGCACCACTTGGTTTTAAATCAACAGAAATGGTCCCGCGCAGATGCTGTTGCTTTCCACTTCCTTTGGAGGCTTTCAGCCACTGGAGGCTTTCAGGAATTCAGCCTCCAATGGAAATTAGATAAATGAGATAAAACACAGAGATGAAACCAATGTTTAATGACTGTATTTCGTATTATATTTACAAACCCGATAAGCGACTGCTGCTGTGGTTGCAGTGACGAACGGTGTGTCTTCGCCCCAGGTGGTAGTGATTCTGCTGGCCGGGAAGCCAGACGATGACGTGCGCCGGGCAGTGACGGCCTTGCGTAACACCAAGGCCGTGGTCTACGCCGTCGGCCTGCACAACGCTGTGGATGATGACCTCAGAGTCATTGCCAGCGACCCCAAACAGCACCACACATTCCGCCTCGATGGGCCCCTGTCCTTCCCCTCCATGGTCCGCCGTTTGTCCGAGGTGGTGTGCGCCGAGATTGAGAGCCAAGTGCCGCAAGTCTACAGAGCTGATTCCAGCATGTCCTTTTTCCTGCGGGGCAGGCCGCTGTTCACAAGTAAACGAGCACTCCCGACATCTAGCAATCACACGTTAACGGCACTGCCCTTTAAAATGTACAAAACAGTCCACATTAAGTTCGTCTCAACAGCAAATGTGATACAAAATGCACCCTCCATGCACTTGTTTTATGATCTTTCACTGTATACCTGTATTTCTCCACAGTTATTTTTCATAATCAACTTCTCCCTGATTCTCACAAGTTATGTTTTTTTCTTTCATGTTGTGTCAGATTGCAAGATGCAGCGAGCAGACATTGTTTTCCTTGTGGACACATCCTATAGCGTGGGTCCAACTGAGTTGGAAATGGCCAAGGCCTTCATGTACTCCCTTGTGAAGAGGTTTGATGTTGGAAAGGACTACGTCCACTTCGGACTGGCTCAGTACAATGTCATCTCGGACATGGAGTTCTCATTGACACAGCACTTGGATAAGGATTCGTTGCTTAATGCTATAACGGCCTTTTCTAGGAAAGACAATGGAGACACAACAAACATTGGCCTGGCACTCAGCACTGCAGCCGACAACTTCTTCCGTAGGCAAGTGGGCAGCCGAATTGACCAGGGCGTGCGGCAGTACATGCTGGTGATAACTGACGGGGAATCTTTTGATGACATCACACTGGGAGCAAAGAAGCTGCATGCCTTGAATGTGTCGGTGATGGCCATTGGCGTTCAGGCCGAAACTGCTTTGCAGCACACGGGTCTGAGCCAGATTGCCAAACCAAGTGACTTTATTCGCCTTGTTAGTGACTTCCACGAACTGCCAAAAATTGAGGAGGAAATCACCAAGGACATTTGTCCGGAGGAGGAAGCACCTACAGACGCACCTCTCACCACGCCACCGCCACTGCCACCCAAAACTGGAGGTAACACAGTGTAAAGATGATTATATTTATTTAGCATAATGAGTTTAAGTTATGGTGTTTTGCATCATCATCATTGTCATCACAGGGTGGCATTAATATTTATTACGGCTATAATCCCAGACTTACAAAAAATCCATATTTCATGAGTTTCAAAAGAAGGTGAATTTTGGCAAAGACAGGACAAAAAGCTGATTGGGGGAGATTTCCAAATCAGGTGCGTCTTCTTGCCCTTCCAGACTGCAACCTGGACGTGCTGATTGGATTTGACGTGACACAGTTGCGTGGTGGGGACGTGTTCATCAGCCAACGCCTTCTGGAGAACCAGCTCAGGAGCATCCTGGCCCGAATCGCGTTCGCAGACGCGCTGAGCTGCACGGGCAGAGCAAACCCTGTCGTGCGCCTGGGTTTTCTGGCGCCGGGTGCACGGCAGCCAGCCTTCCAGTTGCCGCTACAGGCTTACAGCAAAACCCTTGTTGACTCACTGGGGCCCATGCGCACTGCGGGTCCCTTCCAGTTCACAGAACAGTCGCTCATCATGTTTCTCAATAAGTTTCAGAAAGAGGCCTATCCAAACGCTGCCAAGGTACGTCAGTTGAACCATGTGCCCAATGTCCTTGATAAATGGCAGATGTTCGCAATATCACATCACACATTTGTTCATTAATTAAACTAAGCACTAATGTCAATGTGTCCCAAATTTACTATCTTACACCATATGCACAAGCTTCAGCTAGAATAAATCAACGAATAGTTGACTTTATTTTGACCATGTGTTATCGCAGGTGGTCATACTGTTTACGGATGGCGTGGATCAGGAAATTGAAAAAATTCAGCGATCATCTGAAAAACTTCGTCTTGGAGGTTTTTTCACCACTTTCTCTACATTGAATCGTTTTGTCACAATATATCATAAAGCTGCACGCTCTGTTCAGGGAAGCTGGCTGTAGTGTTCTTCAGTGCTTGTGTCCCGGCAGGTGTGAATGCGCTGATCACCGTGGCGTTGGAGGGCACAAAACAGCCCGAGAACCTGCTTCTTTTGGAGTTTGGCCGTGGATTCCGCTTCCAGCACATGAACACCGTGAATCAGCCGGACCTTGACAGTCAACTCGTAAAGGACCTGGTGGGAAATAATGTCTACAAACCAATGTTACAGTAAAATAGCATTCATGGCTTATGCATTAATAGAAAGTTACAAGCGTGCCTGTTCACCACGCATAAATAGAATACAAATGTAATATTTTATATAGCAAGGGGCAACACATCGATCTCTTTCTGTGCTCATGAATGCAGGACAATGTGGTAGAGTGGCAGTGCTGTGGGGTTCACTGCAAGTGCTCGGGGCAGTCGGGAAGACGAGGGCAGCAGGGCAGCCGAGGCCAAAAGGTACAGTGAAGCAGCCAGCCAGTATGCGGGTGAAGCGCACGCTGACTCATCGCGATGAACATAATTTTTTGCCGGTTATAAAAGCATCTCATCATGCATGGCGAAAATACTGCTGAAAGAAGTCTATTTAAGATGGCTGAATAATTAATCAAAATGTTCACAGTGCCACTTTACTTTGGTTATGTAAAAAATACGCTGATGGGCTTGTCAGATGTAATGGTGGATATGTTACATTTTACAGCATGGTTCATTGTTAAAAAAATGATTCGCAGAATAAAATATATTGTGGGATCACACAATAGTTATTTTAATTCTTGACCTTCCATACAATGTTGGTATTGTAACCTCGTTATTTTTTTTTTATTGTGAAGGGTGATGTGGGGCCTAGCGGAATTTCAGGACATCCAGGAGAAGAAGGTGGAATGGTAAGAATACTCCATAAAAAAATCACAAAACATTCTCACTTGCATCAGGTCACAAACTATTTGCAATCACACATGTCCGTTTATTGTATGAAAACTACTGCAGCTATTTACAAGCGAAAATAAAGCACTTTCTTTCAAGTTAATGTTAACATTGTTCATGCTGTGATGCCCATGATCCAAGACTTCATCTCGGCTGTAACTGAGTACGGTGCCGTTGTGTCGTGCAAATGGATTGTGGATAGTGGACAGGAAGGTTGTGTGGTTAATTGTAAACTTCCCACAGGGAGAACGGGGCCCTTCAGGATTAAACGGTACACATGGCTTCCAGGGATGCCCAGGCCTCAGGGGTCAGAAGGTACAACCTCCAATTACTGCCTGTGACCAAGCACAGTGACTCATTATTGCAACCTCAATCACAATCCGAGAAATATCCACTGCCTACTGTATTCAAACTGTGTCAGTGTACTGACAATATACTGCCATTTCTCCACATCATTTAGGATTATTTTGTGTTGCTTGACTGAGTGACATTATCTATTCAGTTATATGATTTTTGGTGAGTGCTGAATGATATCGAATAGTAATCATTTCCACATATTTAAAACAACTGCAATAATTTGAAGACATGTCAAATGGCAATGTATTTGGTAACATAACAATATGATAATTGGTTCTTTACCCTTCTATCTGGCAACAAAACTGACAGTTTTGTTGCCAGATAGAAGGGTAAAGAACCAATTATCATATTTTTACTGGCAAATGAGGTCCCCATAGTGTAAACATAACAATATGTTGGAAAAACTGTAAAAAAATTAGTTATTATATTTAGTTTCAATATTCGTTATTATAAAATACATGCGTGTGTCACTGTTTCGTTTATATATTGGCTATTGTTGTTCCAAACTGTAGCCTTACATTTAAATCAATTGAGACACTTTCTACTATCAATGCGTCTACATTTGAGATAAATTGGCTAAAAACCTGCCATTGCTGTAAACAATAACCTGTGGATGAGTGCTACTCTTTGCACTGGAGTGGAGAAGTCAATGCCAGATGTGTGTTGTTTTTTGTCATGTTTGCTAAAATTACTCTCCGGTTGTTATTTCTGCAGGGCTCTCGAGGACTGCCTGGAAGATTGGTAATCATGCAATGATGCACGCCTCTTCTCATTTAAATTGCAGCACTTTCTTGGATGCCGATAGGCCACACTGAAGCATCATTGTATTCCGTTGATTGCGTGAGGCGCCCTGCATGCACAGCAGAACACGAGAATGGAAAGTACATTCTATTCCCACCGCTAAAACAATGGTTTCCTCTTTTTTTCCAAAAACAGGGAGAAGACGGTGAACATGCTCTGGACGGAATCAGTGGAAAGCATGTGCGTGGAAATTCTGCTATTCATTAAATTGATTCATTAGATGGGCAATTATAGTACTAGGGTACCACAAATAGCTGGTGCTAATGGATTTTATATACATAGTATGGCCATGCCTCACTGTCACAAGTTTTGATCTTTTTCGCAATGTTAATTCCATTCATGAGCTCTCGATTTTACTATATCTGAGGTTAACCGGAAGTCAATGAAGGGCTGTAATCAGTATAGCTGTTCAAATGAAACTAAATGTCACAAATAATATTTTATTTTCCAAGAGCTTTTTTTTAGAAAGCTCTTTTTTGAAGAAAAAACAAGTTTACACATTACTCATAATACACACTTTATTGATTTGCCTTTGTTTATTATTTAGTGTTGTGCTCTCCTATAAATAACTGCGAAAGTGCAGTCCACACGATTGATAATATACGTTTAAATGCATGCAGTGGAACTCCGATACCCCTTGCGTCTGCTCTTCCCGCAGGGTGAGGCTGGTCGACCTGGAGTTGCAGGTCCAAAGGGGCTTCACGGCAGACAGGTACGCAGCATGCAGCATCGTTTCAGCCAGGCTCCCGACGATGTCAGTGCGCCGTGTCGTAAAAGTTAATTCTTTTTTTGGGTTTTATGGTTACATTTTGCAGGGAGGAAGAGGTATCCAGGGAGAACCTGGGGAAAGAGGCAGTCTCGGGATTCAGGGAGATCCGGTAAGTTGTTTTCGTATTGTGTTCAAGTTCCGCTTTCGATGATAATGTTGTCCTGGTGTCCTATAATTGACAGCTGTGGCTTATGTTTGATATCACAGAAACATTGCATTATTTTCCCCGGCATGCTGGTGGTTTGCATCAGTTTTTCATGTGTTTCATATGCAAAGCATGCATTGCATTTTTGTCATTCTTTATTGTGAATGTTACCTGTATTCATTTATTTGAAATGTTTTAACCTCAACAACAACTCAATGTTAACACTTATTTTAGTATAATTTTGATTGTATTAACTCTTTGCTGTTTACTATGAATGTATAAATATGAGCAAGAATGACTCCAACGTGGCCATTTTTGTCTTTAACCATATCTGTATCGACTTTCCCGCGACCAATTATTCTCGCATAAATATTAGTTTGTAGGGTTACAGCTTTGGGCAATTCGTTATTTATCATTCTTGATTTATTTATCCTTAAGACATTGTTTGGTGGCTCATCACTAACTTTACTGTGCAGGGACAACAAGGCATCAGAAGCCAAGTGGCCGGCCCTCCGGGAGACAGAGGCCAACAAGGAATTGAGGTGGGGAGCCAGGACATTTTAAGGCTAAGCTCACCATATAATTTTAATGCCGACAAAGTTAGAGATAACAAGGTGGCTACAGTTAATTAGACATGGAAATAAATACATTAGGTCGAGCCAGTTTGGTTCTTGAAAAGTATACACATCCAAAATCTCAAATTAACGTTCTGGTATTTTCAGTACGTTTTACAAAATATTTATATAGTGTATGTAAAATTCAATGTGTTTGTTGGCTCCATGCCACAGGCTGGCAGCTATGGTTTGATTAATTTGTTTAGAGCATTAAATCTTTTTAAAATTGTTTTATATGTATGCTCTGGTCATATAAGTTTAACTTAAATATACCCGGCAGGCCTACGTTTACTGAGTAGTTTTATGTTCCCATTTATGAAATCAAGAAGAACACGATCCAACTTGGAGTGGAGCTGTGCTGAGTGGGTTTGGGGGAAGGCTGTTACTGGGAATGATCAACAGGGAGTGGGTCTATTACGTGGAGGATGGAGGGGAAGGCTCCAATGTGTTGGGTGTGGAGATGTGAACTGATTGCAGCTGCTGCCTCATATCCGCAGGGAGACGTCGGGCGAGACGGAGACGCGGGGGGACGAGGTGAACCCGGAGCTCCTGTAAGCCAGAGCATATTACTCATGACTGTGTTTGAGCTGCGAATATAAACATTTATTTCCTACAAAATACAGATGTGATGTATAAGCCACGGCTTGTGGCCAGCTGTGTCTCGCTAGAGTGTGATGATCGGCTCTTATGCTACTTTGCCAGAACTGGTGGTCGTGAAGTAGCCCGCATGTTGACACAAGTCTTCCTTGTGTGCTGCTGATTGTCCCTATGCACTACTGTGTTTGATTTTTCTTTATTTATTATCAGAGCGGTAATGAAATATTTGTGCTATTACAGTACAACTGGAGGCTTCCTAACACATTGTCAGTATCGAGTTGCTATCATTATTGCCGTGCCCTGTCAATGGACTTGTTTGAACAAAACCTGATTTGACAAACTACACATGTAGCATGACGCATACATGTCAGGTCTCAAGGATGAATTACCCATGAGACTCATGCACGTTTTTTCACAACGTTGAGTGTCTCATGGTCATGCAATGGATTCTCACTTGTTTTGTTGTTTATCTGAAAATAACTCACTCAGCCCTATCTATTGCAATGCACCGGCAGCTGCTGTGGTCGATGGTTCAGGTATTATGTAAGGGTCAACTCCAATAGGGTTTCTCTTCACTTACAGCCTCTTTGTGGTAAAAAAGCAGTGAAAATAATAACTATGTAAAGTTAGTATCAATTGGTTTATGTACAGTATTATGGGTGTGTTCACTAAGTGGTGGACAGTAGCCTATTGCAGCTACATAAACTCATTTAATAACTTCCCCTCTTTTCTCTAAAGGTAGATTAGGTCTTGTGTGCATGACAGTTAAATGTCTGTGGCTCGGTTTCTTGGGTTTCCCTCAGTTTCCTGGGGTTTTCTCTCAGTTTATTGTGGTTTTCTCAAGGGTCTCACTGATTTTCACCCTGTGTGGTTGACATGTATGATGATGGAACATACTCACTAGGTAATCAAAAAGGCAAAAAATGCAGATTGATTACTGGTGCTGCCTGGAAGGACGACATGCATCTAATGGACAACAGCAAATTATTGTAATGCCAAACCAAACAGTCATTTTGGCTAATTCTTTATTAGAGTACAGTTATGCATAGATCAGAAACCTATGAAAATGCATTCTTGTTTGGAAAAGCATGCTGCGTCAGAACATGTTACTCTATCTTTATATAAATCCTACGAATATGCAAATACCGTTTATGGCAGTACTGTATATGTATGACAATATTGGTTTTATAAACCACATGTAGAGTTTACATACATACACACATGCACAACACAACGTTATAAACCACTTAAACAATTATAACTCTTTTTACCAACTTTAATGAAATCGTTTGTTTTCATGGCAGGGCTCAGGCGATCGCCGTGGCCCAAAAGGGCCTCAGGTAAAGGATACTCCATTAATCACCCACAGTCATACAGAGTCTTGGTTTAATACAACTATGTTTGCATTTGCCTGTGTGTATACAATTGATGTCAATTTCCCTTTGTGTGCGATGCGGCACAGGGTGAGAAAGGGATTGTTGGTTTGCCTGGACCTACTGGAGCAAGCGGGTCTCCTGGCACCGCGGTAGGCTTGCCGTCAAAAACATAGGCCCGGTCCATCACCACCACCATGAATCTCAGATGCATAAAACACACAATGCAGTTGCATCCACATTGCAGACATGAGGTTTGCTTATATGTGCGCCCTTCAAAATCTAATTGGATATGACCAGAAATACTTCGCTGTTGGTAGTGATTATGAGCTAACATATTATATAATGGGGTTTGGTTTAACGTGGTTTTTTTTGCAATGTCAAACATGGGATTGAGCCATTGCCTGGAACATTAATTATAACTGTTCTGATGATATATCCTTCAGGGCAACAATGGGCCTGGAGGGAAGCCTGGAATCAGAGGAGAGGCTGGCATCCGCGGGCTCAGGGTGAGTTTGTCAGGCACCAGTCACACTTCACAGTTGACAGCGTAACCCTGGGCGACACCACTACAATCCCCAATTATAATTACGCATTATTCACATTTCAGACTGCATGTTACTTGAATAGTTTGGTCCCTGAACAGGATTATTTTAGTTCTTCTTTTTAAATGTTTCATTATTTTCTTACCTTCAATGACTATTACTGTAAGCTTTGTCAGATCATATTTTGCTTAAATGTTTTCCTTTCAACTTTGGCTGCATGTGGCTGAATTGTATAGTGGAACCTGACCCAGCAAGGTATATGAAACGGTAGCCACACCAATTACCCTCTTGATTGTAATGTGGAATGAAATGGTGGAAAGCTCATCCAGGATTAATGTGAAATGCAATGCGTGATGTATGGATATGTCTGAGTATAATCTATGTCACCAGGGTGAGCCAGGCTCAGCTGGACCCAAGGGAGACACTGGGAGGGCTGGAACAAGAGGCAGAAAGGTATATGTGTTGGGATGACACATACAGAACTTTCCAAACCGTTTTTTGCCATGTTATTTTCCCACATTTTTATCCCAGTTGTGCTATCGATGTCATGCATGAGATAAATACGTATTCAGATTTTCGCAGAGCAGTGCATCCATTCAAGATAGAGATTGGCTCATGAAGTAGATATTATAGAGCTACCTCTGAGATCCCTTCAAGTGACGTTGTGTTTGCCCAGTTGAAGGAAGCACTTTTCAACCCGCTTGCATAGAACTGGAATTTAGCCAAATTAAGTGCAGAACCCAATTTAGTTAAGTGTTTTTGTCTCGGCCTCGCTGTGCGCTGCGTTGCCCCACTATCCGAGTAGATAACCTCGCATTCAATAAACCTTCAGAGCCAGGGTGAACATCCGACTCCAAACGTATTTAATGAACTGAAAGAGGTAAAACTTATGGAAAAACACAGCAGAAATACAGCATCTGTTAATACTTGGAAATATCAATACAATGAATTAACACTACAGCATCATTACATTGTCTTAGATAACATGAAACTCAACAATAGATCCTGGATGGACCAGGCACCTACATTAGTACTGAATAGCTATACAAGATAATAAGGTACTGTGTTAAATAAGGGCACATCGTGTAATCACCATACTGCAGCCTAAATGTATAGCACTACACATAACACTGAACTGTGGATGAGATATTTCATCATCCTTGCTCTCAAGATCGCAATATGGTTACATGGGTACAAGTCTGACTCGACAAATGCAATTACATGTAACATTCACAATAACACAAGTGGCAGGCTTCATTGTTTATTCGGCCTCATATTTATCCTAACAATTTAACAGTATTATAAAGGCATTTACAGCATTATAACGGCCATTCTAACATTATAACAGCATTCCTAGTATTATAAGAAAATAAACGAACTTACAGACAATGCTTCTTAAAGTCCCACACTGAACAGATGCACCTGTCTTAACTGAGACGCTATTTGTGCCACCATTTTGTACTCTGTGTAATGGCTGACACCCTGCCGCGTGGCTGAGAGAATCTTAAATTGTAACTTCCTGGTCACGTGACCAAACTCAACGTCAAAACAGGAAATTCCTGTGTATACACCCCCACACCTGCTATGAGGCAGAACATTTTTGTAGAGTAATTGCTAATCAGACTGAAACCATCAATTCACGTACCGTATGTGGTGTGATCTTGCCATCCACAGATGAAGGGCTGTAACTGTCTTAGTCTTTAATCCTCGCCAAAAGGCAGTCTTTGGTTTATTCCTGTATGATTATGAGCATTGTCTTTTACATACCTTTCAACAGGGGGAATCTGGGATTGTGGGTGACAAGGGCTTACCAGGACCAGCTGGGCCTCGGGGAGAGACAGTAAGAACACCCGTTACTGTAACAAAGTTCCTCTTCATAATAACCTACATGAATGTTTCAAATTACAAAACATAAACCTGCACAGAAAACACATGCTGTAATGGCGACCATATTTGCAGGGAATTGAGGGACTCGATGGGATTGGTGTTCCTGGAGTGAACGGCTCAAAGGTAAGCTTTTCCATTTGTAAAATTGTTGCTAATTATTGTTTATTCAAACATATTTCCAGGATGTACAGTTCAAAATCGACACACATACACACTCTAAAATGCAGCACCAGCTTGAAAATATATCACTATGGATATCCGCTATTTTGATGCATTATGTAATGAGAATAGGTTTTCCCCTTTTTTCTGGCAACAAAACAGGTGTTAAGATGTAAAAACACCAAACTAAAACCTTTAACAAGGAATCATGTCTGCATTAACCACAAAACCTGTGGTCCGAATGCAATGTGGTTAATGCAGACATGATTCCTTGTAAAAAGTTTCAGTTTGGTGTTTTAACACCTGTTTTGTTGCCAGATAAAAGGGGAAAACCTATTTTCATATTTTGGTACTGACAAAGGAGGTCCCATGATGAAGCATTATGTAATTTGATGAAATAAATTAAACGTTCTGCCTCTTAGTTCTCAAAACACTATGCAAGGGCCTTCAGGATGTGGTAGTTTCACCGAACAATGCCCCACTTTCATGCCGCTCTTGAGTCTCTGGAAACTTGGATGCTCAGATGTTTTGTTTTTTCCTGTAGGGAGACCCAGGATTGATGGGCTACCCAGGATTGCGGGTAATTTATAGTACACTCAATGCAGCACCTCGCCTTAATAAGTGCACTTAATTATCCCAATTTGTGCTAAGGTACATTTTAATGCGACCGCATGCTGGTGGGCGAAAGGCCATGTCGACCGATGTTTGTGTTTAGGGCATTGACGGCTCAGATGGAGAAAACGGCACAAAAGGCTCCAAGGGAATGAGAGGCCAGCGGGTAAGGTTCCTCGCATCCAGAGATCACGTCATTAGTAGCACCGCAGCGCCAGCCGACAACATTGTTCATCATGCGTTGTGATTTTTTTCAACCAATATTACGTGCTCGTTATGAGTTGTGAAGCTGTTCTGCTGCCAAAAGGTATGCACTGCTATGATAAGTATTTTTCTTTTTTTTGCATGAATGTTGACGACAATCTGCTTTCCTTTAGCTACTTGGGTTATGAAGATCTTTGCTTTTACAGATAAAAGGAATGTCAATGGTTTTAGAAGTGGAGGGGGGGGGGGGTCGGCGATGTGAGAGATATAAGCAGTAAATATGGCACCAATTCCATAACCTCCACTTGCGATTTACACTGCTTTTTCTGTACTCTACCAATCAGTGGCTATTGAAGGCCACTCAAAACACATAATACGATGAAGATAATTTGGATTTTGCTGATAAAGTGTGTTTTTTATCGTCTAACAGGGATATTCCGGCCAGTCTGGAGCCGCAGGAAGCACTGGTGAGCCTGGACCTGCAGGCGAGGAGGTAATGGCCATCCGTCATTAAACTCATTCCATCGGATTATTGTGCAATATTGCACTGCCCCTGCAAAGAACAGCTCTTATAAGGTGCCTTGTTTTCATTACAGGGTCCCAGAGGTCGAGATGGAACCATCCCAAATGTAAGTGTCTTCTGAATTTTCATTAAAACATCTCATTATGATCTTTGTCTTATTCCATAAAAGAAAAAGCTGAAGTATGCATTTTTACTTACATGTTAAATATATTTTCGGCTGTAATTTCAGGTATGTACATTGGTGAATACAATCCGAGAAAAATGCAGTAAGTGTCTTTGCACACAGAGCACTGTCTTTATTTGTGAGATTTGAATTAAAGTCAAAGGAAAAGGTCATGGAAAATGTTTAATGTAATATTCTCTTTTCTTGTTCATTCTAGCTTGCTGTCAAGGTAAGATTTCACTGTATACACATCCAGATATTGTATTTACTGAATATTTAAAAAACACATTTCACATGAGCTATTGACATGCACTGCATCTTGTACCTTTGCATTCTTTGAAGCTTTCAGGCTAATTGCGAATCATCTCCCACCCCACTGCACCACACGGGCACCTGCGCCGGGCCTCCTCCCCACCCACTCCCCCTCGCGTGTGCGCAGGCAAGCAGGACTGCCCCGCGTACCCCACCGAGCTGGTGATTGCGCTCGACGTGGCCCAGGGAGCGTCGGCCGTCACGCTGAGCCGCATGAAGGCCATCGTGAAGCGTACGCTGCAGGGCCTCACGTTGGCCCGCAGCAACGGGTGCCCGCAGGGGGCGCGTGTCGCGCTGCTCACCTACGACGGCGTCGCGACCACCACGCGATTCCGCTTCGCCGAGCCACGCAGCCGAGAGGACGCCATCGCTCGCACCGATAATGTGACGTTCGCGGCGAGCGGCGGCGGGGGGCGGCGCGACACGGGCCGGGCCATGCAGTACGTTGCGCGCAACGCGTTCAAGCGCGTGCGGCAAGGCCGGCTCTTGCGCAAAGTGGCGGTGTTCATCACCAATGGACCCTCGCAGAACGCCGACGCCGTCAGTCTCGGAGCGGCCCAGCTGGTGGCCAATGACATCACGACGCTCGTGCTCTCCTTCGAGAAGCTGCCCCACATGACGCAGGCGCTCAAGGTGCGCACAGAGAGACATGGCGGAGGAGGGATGGCGGCCTCACAGCCACCATGATGTTGTACGCGTGGACAGAGATCAAAAACTCCATGCTGCCCTCAGAATTATTGCTGCCTCATTATAGAAAAAGGGCAACAAGTTATGGCTTCGGTGATCATCTCTGGTAGATACAAATATTGAGTAATGTCAATGACAGGAAAGGGAATTTTCGTAAAAGAAAAATACAAGTAACTGTTAAGATTAACTAATAAGTTCTTATATTTAAACATTATACTGGATGTAATAGGCTCATATTTTTGTCCATAAGCCTCCTTTTGAGAACCAAACAGACTACAAAACGGTAAATCAAGCAAACACATGGAATGCTTGTAACAAGACGTTTCTCGGTGCATTAACTGAGAGATTGAGTCCGTGCGATGGTAACTCCTCGAACCCTGTGCTCTTGTGCTGTGCAGATTGACAGTACCAAGCTCTCCAGGGTGGTGGTGCTCCCAGCAGCCCAGGCAACACAAGAAGCAGCACTGGAAAGCGCCCTCAAGTGCACCGTCTGTTTCGGTGTGGAACCCTTTAGCTTTTCTCACACATCTCATTCATCGCAGCCACCTACCCTTTATTTTGTTTCATTATAAAGTATGACCATTGCAATTCCCACCAATTGATGGAGGAGCATCTTTGTAGATGAGCACTACCCAATGCTCTTTGAAGCACGGGAACTCCCACCCAACTGTGTTTTTTTTATGAAGTCTGCGATTTTTATATGGGCGTCACACTGTATCAACCCATGCACACACGTGAACTGCCAATGTGTTACTTTGTGCCGCTTGTTCCTAGATCAATGCAACCCAGACGTGCAGTGTGCGGTGACCCCTGGCAATGTTCCGGTGGAGCTGGCGGCTGACGTCGCCTTCCTGGTGGACGGCTCTATAGATGTGGCGCAGTTTGCCATGGTGCAGCGCTTGGTGAAGAGAGCCATCGAACAGATCTCCGTCACATCCGCGCCGCGTGGCAGCGCACAGTCGCGTCTTTCCCTGCTGCAGTACTCACCATTTGGAGCCCGTGCCACAGGAGCAGTATGCAAAAACAACATCTCATAACATCTTCATCATCATTCATTACTTAATATTTCTCCTCACGCAACTCCTAATGCGCCACCGCCCTTGAATATGTTGTTTGAAATGGAAGGTATTGTCAGTCATTGCCCACACCGTTAATCTTGCCGTGTTTGTTGCCCGGGCGCGCGTAGGCCACGGAGAGCGCAGTGAAGGTGGAGTTTGGCTTCACTCAGTTTGGTCGGGACGAGTTGTTGGAACACGTGCAGCAGAAGCTGCAGCCCCTGAGCTCAGGCTCCACCACCGTCGCCGGCCCGGCCGAGGCCCTGCAGTGGGTCACCCGCAATGCCTTCCGAAACGCCACATTGCCGCGCAAGAAGCGCGCAGTGGTGCTGCTGACAAGCGGGCAGGGCATGGATGTGAGTTTGCGCGAGGAGGCTGTGCGCAGCACAGAGGTGGCCACAGGGGCCATGTGCCAGGGACTGGCGCTGTTTGTCGTGGGGCTGGGCCCTGGTGCGCGGCAGGTGCCGATCTCCATGTTCGCCAGCACCCCCGCTGAGATCCACCAGGTGACAGTGAGCACTGCCGGGGGGGCCGAGGAGGCGTACCTGCAACACCTTCTTCACACATTCTTCAGCATACTCAGCCGTGAGTGTACATGCCACCACACCGCACCCACCGCTAGGGTTGCCACCTGTCTTGGTTTTCCCAGGATTGTCTTGTTTTGTGGTAGCTGTCTTAGAAGGTCTATAAGCCTTCCTGGGACATACAAATTTATGTTTTTTGTCAGTTGGAAAATGATACACCACTCAAGAGAATGCATTTACATGCATCTCTCCTCTATACGGTATTGTGATATATTCTTCTTCATCCCATGACGTCTTGGTTTTTTGTATCATGGAGGTGGCAACCCCTACTTTCTGCTCGCACCAGTAATAAAGGTAATCAGTGCCAAACTCTGACATGGGTGCCTGCATGCACGTTGCAGCCTTCACTTATAATCGCTTTTCACACACAGGGTAAGAGCTAAATTAATTGCTTTACATTGGTAAGATATCTGATAGAAAATATGCTTACCTCAAAGAAAAATAAATTAAGGATTAGAATTTGGAAAACAATGTAAATAAAATAACAGTACATAAAATTCGTGATCTGATCCCATTTGTGAAGGATGTGATCCCTGATATGCAATATCCCGGCGTCTACAAGCTAAGCTGTGTCTGCGGCAGTAGTTACATTGGGGAAACTAAGCGACATATCTCGGACCGTGTTCGTGAACATAAGGCAGATCTGAAACACGGTAGGATCAATTGATTTCTCTAAGACGAAGGTACTTTGCAAACCCACTGGCCAGTGGCGTCACTAGGGGGGTGCGGGGGGTGCGGACCGCACCGGGTGACACCATCAGAGGGGGTGACACCAAAATGACTGTCTATACAATTTTTGTGCAGTGTTTCAGCAGAAATGTATTATTATTTTTATTTAAAAAATATCCCCGTAGTTAGTTATAACAACAAAAACATTGCCCATGTTTTTGTAGTCGCTGATTTTGTCAAATTTTCTGGTATTTTAGCTACAATATTGTGGTAATTAGTATTTGTGAACCGATATCAATAACTTTTTTGAGAATCAAGTAGTAATTGAAGGAAAAGGAGAAAAATAAAAAAGGCTTCCGCTCAGTTACTAATAATGTTGTAACTAATAATCTTGTAATTCAATGTAGAAAGAATTTACAAAACAATTTTGTTGTTAGTATTCTTTGGGTCTTTCGCTAAAGCCACGTAGATAGAAAAATAATAAAATTATCACGACGTTTCAATCGTAACACAAGCAATCGCCATCAGGTGAAAAAATATAACGAGAGAGCTGCCGAGGCAGGAGAAAATACAGCGGAAGAGCTGCTGAAACACGAAGTTATATAGGTTTGATATGGGCTCAGCCCAAGGATAAGTGGGCAGGGCTAGAGGTTGAATTTGCATGTCAATGTAAGATCGGTGATGTACCTCCATGACGACGCAGCTGTGGAGGTGGCCATTGTAATGTGAGAGATTAGCATGTCAATGTAAACGAACCAACACAACGGTGGCTGTGCTAGTGAGACAGGAGGAGGTCCATGGGGGTGACACCAACCCTAGTGACGCCACTGCCACTGGCTATCAACAACGATTCGTTCATGAAGCCATCCATATATACAAACACAGACACAATTTCAACCGAAAAGATGGGTACCAACTGACCAATCATTGGAATGACGTTATTATCCAGTTTAAGTCATAACTTCTAGATTTGAAGCTTTCGTGACTGCAAGGATTCATATTCTTAGGTTTTTTCGGTAAAGTCACGTAGGTAAAAAATTAAAATTAATAAAAGTAAAATAAAATAAAAAATCACGACGTTTCGGAGGCAACACAAGCTTCCATCTTCAGGTGGAACCGTCACAGCCACGACAGCTGTATCACGTAAATGAGAGATTACAAGAGCTACCACTCCGTATATATAATGGTTGAAGAGGGGAAGGGCCAAGTACGGCACACTTTTTATTAATATGGTAAGGTGAGGCTTAGGACTAAGAATAGACTGCATAACAAAAGACTGAGCGTTTGTTATGGAGAGGTGCGGTTTGTGACTACGCCTAGCATACATAACAAAAGTGTGAGAAAAGAAAGAAAAAACTAAACCTGGTAAAACAAAACTGGCTGTCTATCAATAACCTGTAATAGTTGTCTGTCAAATAAGATGGTCCAAATAAGTGTAGTTAAATCTTTTTTGCATGGTTAATCACATCTTTCCAATGATTACTCAGTTTGTAACCATCATCACGGTTGAAATTATGTCTGTGTTTGTATATTTGTATGGCTTCGTGTACAAACCTTTGATGGTAGCCAGGAGGTTTGCAGAGCACCTTGGTCTCGGAAAAGACAATTTCATGAGATTGGAGAAACAAAACGTCATGTTTCTGATCGTGTCCGCGAGCACAAGTCAGATCTGAAACACGGCAGAACTGATTCTTAGGCCGTTGCCGATCATTGCTACAACTCTCTGGGCTCTCATGAAATTGTCTTTTCCGAGACCAAGGTGCTCTGCAAACCTCCTGGCTACCATCAAAGGTTTGTACACGAAGCCATACAAATATACAAACACAGACATAATTTCAACCGTGATGATGGTTACAAACTGAGAAGGCAATATTTCCATACTTGGGCAAAACAAAGCAATTGTATCATTGCTGCTCATGTGTCATTCCCATGTCACTGGCAAATAACAAAACTGACAATTGTACTTTGAGTATAACTCTGATAGGTCACCTACATGTCGTCATAAAGGGTATAAATACGACAAAACCGTGTCCTAGCATATGCTAGTGTCCTAGCATATGCCAGTATGAGAAACATAACATTAACATGTTGATGTTTGACAGTTTACCATTAATGATTATATCTAATATTACTATTCAGGGGAAAGCTCAACAAAACAAATCTAATTCCCCTTATTGTGTACATCGCCTGCAGCAATTCACATTTATCTCAAGAGATTACATTAATTATCATTATTTGGGAGCTTGCAACAAATATCCTGTTTTAAATCAAGCATGCCACTTCTTAAATGCATACTCATACTAAAGTCAGTGATTGCAAATGTCAAAATGTGTCTAACTCATATCTGGGTTATTTCCATGTCCAAGTATTTTTTTTTTACCACAAGTCCTCATGCCTCACAATGTGTTTAAGCCCCTCAAAGATGTGGTGTGATCTCTATTTTCCACAACGCAATATAACAGAAAATATACATCTTGATGTGGAATCCTCTCTGGATTGTGGTCGAGTTTGCATGGAGTGACCCAACAATTACAATCAAGGTAATTTCATGCCTTCTCAACTTTACATATAATCACACATGTTTCCTCTCAACCCCTCCCCCATCCTTGTGAACCTGAACATGGTGCACACTCCGCTGCAGAGGATATATTTGAGTACCCACCTAAAGCCATGTCGGCAGAGTGTGCGCGGCTTAAGAAGGGTCGCGCAGGGACACCACAGGGGGATGAAACGTGAGTGAGATGCACAAATCCGCATACATACATTGTACACACAAAGACAAAGATCTCCCATATGTAGTCTTTTCAGGCTGTTGGGGAAAGTGCTGTGAGTACCTATGAAGGCTGGAATGGTACACGGAGAAGTGGTGTGTATGCACATCACGCAAGGTTCTTAGACCCTGTTCAGATATCACTTACCTGAGGTAAGCTATGGTTGGGAATGAACCTGAGGTCATCTGTTTCCCACAAACACACGTGTAAAAGCAAATACATATCAATTACACCCACATATTCACACAAAACCCACACTCATGCTATACGTTAAGCAAATTACATTGGTTCCAAATGTGTTTAGGTTGTGCATGTTACACACAATAATGATGTTACATGTTTTTGTTATTTACTCTCACAGAGATCGTGGAGACATTGCCGAAATCATGAGAGGTGATATAAATCTGTTGTTAGAAACCGTTTTACGTGATCGAGTGCACGTGTGTACATTTTGTAATGATTAAGATAATGAAATTAAAATACCGTGGACTGCAGTTCAATTTAGTTTTACTAGAGAATTGTATAAATACTGCGATAGTTATTAAAAATTGTGTCCACAGAAGCAATTTGAGGTGTACCCTATGGTTTAAGTCTGAGCACACATAATGGACTTCTATGAGGGTTACTCTTGATGGATCTGGCACCAGGAAACCATTGAGTTGTCCCCATCATCACCCTCTTAAACCTAACCCTTGACACCTCGTCTCTGCACCTCTGCAAATTGGTGTGCTATTTGGGTTTCCTGACCTCTACCCTTCCTGTCAACGCTTGGCTGTCATTGATTTGTTTAAATAGGTCTCAACGACCATCAATCCACATACACAGCCTATAGTGGCAGACACTTTTTCTTTTGTCGTCCTCCTCTTTGGTGTCACATCACATAGGCTGCTGCACAGAAATGGAGTTTGTTGGGTCACAATTTTAACATTTTATATAAATGGCATTCTGAGAAGGGTTGTTTCAGAGGTCTGTAAACTGCACTCACTTGTAGTTTTGCTCTTGCGGTTCTCGGTACTTGGGGGTTTCACTGCCGCTTTGCTCTGTGCTCACACGCTGGCATCGTTTTCAGATTACTGGGAGGCTCTCAATGGGCAAGTTGAAAGATCTACATTTTCCACCGCTGCCTCTGCTGCTGCCGCTGCTGTTGTTACTGGTGCTACCACCACCACCGCCACTGCTGCAAATATCACCACCCCCCATTCCGTCGACATGCTAGCCGCAGAAGGCGGCTCATCGCCATTACTTTCCACGGCTTCCGCTGGCTTTAGTGTCAACGAGTTTGAGAATCAAAGGGGGTTTCCTGTAGACTCGACGCATACCTCTGCCCCTCTGACCACAGAGACTGCAAGTTACGGACATGTGCAGTCAGATGCCGCGTCAGCGAACACTGTCCACCTTGCAGAGAGCGCAGCCGAGCAGGCTAGCGAGCCCCAGCACTCGCCATCACACTCCGCGTTCGATTCGGGAGTGGAAAGTGCAATTGGCGGTACATCAGAGGAAGGCCTGCCAGAGTTCTACTCTGAGGGGGATTCTCAGGGAATGGAGGAGGGAGACGCTGGCACAGAGGTGCACCTCACGTCTCCCTCTTCGTCTGCACAACCCGAGGAGCCCACTGGTGTGTAACATACCAAAGTTACCACAAATTTCAGCTCAAATTAACACAACATTTACGACGATTTATCCATATTGTTTGGTTATTGCCATACATACAATTCACTCTTTAAAAAAAACTGCATGTGTTGCATCGCCTAAAGATTTCATAATATATTTTTTCACTAACATATTTACCCAGCATGGTATGCAAACGTATTTCAAAATAGATTGAAAGACAGAAAAATATTTTTTCAGCTCCCATTTTCCCCTGAGCTGATGTCATGTCATGTACATTGCTGGCTAGGCAACAAGTGCATGGGCGGGTACGACACCGGCACTGTGTGTAGCAAGTTCCAGGCGTTCTGGTACTTTAACAACGACACGGGAGGATGCGGCCAGTTCTGGTACGGCGGCTGCGACGGCAACGCCAACCGCTTCCCCACAGAGGAGGAGTGCGTGCGGACATGCCTGAGCCCCAGTAAGGCGCCCCCCCCCTCATCCCTCACATCGTGCTACAGCAGCAGTCTGTTCCAGCTGTGACAGCACTCTAACACTAGGATGAACCCTCATGTGATGTAGCCAGCAGCAATCCAACAGTTCAGCAGCAGAAGCATCACTGCAGGCAGATTTAAAAAAGATTTGTACTATTGAAGAAGGATTTACTGTATGCCAATTCAATTTTGCATCAATAACGGCCGGCCTTTATCTGATTCAATTGAATATTTCCACCGCTTACGCTACGCGTAGCCAACAAGTAATGAAATGCCGCTTAACTGCAGGCGAATCCATGAGGGAATAAATAAGTGCCACATTAAGCTATTTATATAATGCTCAATAATTATAATAGTTCACAACCCTTTGTAAATTGAGCGCTGTCATTCTGAGGGTTGTTTAAATCGTGTTATTGCACAACCTCATATTTAACTGGCTCAAAAGAGTTTTGGCGGATGTGCAATATTTAATTGTCTTCGTATTTAATTAAACACATACATGTTTTACAGTTTTATCGACAAATTCCATGTTTATGTATAAAATAGCAAGTGTATTTCAATACGAGTCACCTGCTAAACCTGACTGTATCATAAGTATGAGAGATCATTGATAGAGAAGGTGTCAACAGTAGAATACAAAATTTAATCCCAATTGGAATTTGGAAAATAATTTCAAATGTTATTGACCAATGATATCAGATATTCAAATACCTTATAGTATGCACTTTGCATATTTCATCATTGTTTTTTTGCACATGCTGTTTTCATAATATGCAAGCATGTTTTCAATTTGAAAACGTAAGTACATGTGTTTTCAAAGGAATAAAATCTAGGACACAACTGGATTTTATCAACACACTTTACTTGAAGCTGCTGTGTCTTATACTGTACATGTAAAAAAGCAAAAGGCTTGACATTGGCAAACTTTTTCCTTTTACAATAAGCATCACGAGCTATATGAGATGCTCAGGAAAGCATCTCATCAGCAGCATGAGCATCATCAGTCATGGTCTATCCACTGCTGGATGAGGGTCGCCCCCAAGTCTTTTTCATTTTCAAGGGTTCTGTGGTGCCATAATCCACATCGCTCCTGTAGATTAACTGAATCTCATCGCTGGGGTGGCCGTCCTCTAAAAAATGTCATCCCATTCTTGGCTGGCAATGTGCTATGTAAGTCGGTGATGGTGTGGTAGACGATTCTCAATCTTGCAGTTCTGCCACAGGCTCACTACCTCCTCACTTCGCTAGATGCAATTATTTAAACTGGAAATCAGAGGCGGGGAATCTTTGAAGGTAAATACGTAGAAAAATAGTACAAATATTACATTTGCGGCTGCATTTACTTTCTCACCAAAGCAGTGCTGCTATTATGACTTCAAAGCTGAAGATTGCAACACTTACAAAAATATATAATGACTAACGCAAAGTGTAATTATGTGTTAAGATGTCTAGCCTTAATCCGGTGTGAATAGATTGGGTTGTCAGGTTGGCGTTATTCAAAATTACCTCAATAAGCCCGTTGTCAAGCGCCTGCGTGGCATATGGCGATTCGCACATGTTCAGTAATAGAAAACGGCGCTCGGAAACAAAAACCGCCTTGCGACGACAATGAAGGGGGGCGCATCGTAGTACACGTCCCTTCACACTTGCTCGTGAATTATTGTTCTTTTGGGAGTAGTAGGACAAGCTCGTGTTTTTTGTGCCATGCAAAGCATGTCTTCCACACGCAGGGGAGAGGCATGCGCACAATGTGTTCGTCGACAATGCAGGTGACATGAGATGGGCCAAGCGCCCTTGAGCAGCTACTGTATACTGGACCAGTAACAAAATCCTGAAGACCCGTGCGTATGATTTAAACCAGATACAAGCAAACTTGGCCTAGCGACGGCATGAAATGTGCCTCCTTTGTGAGGCCACTGTGAACATTGAGTGAAGGTTAAAACATTCTACTTACATCCTGTGACCTCCCATTGTAATAAGATGCATTTGTATTAGTTTCAGGTGACAGATGAAGTGTTTAGGCATCGCGTATTATAATGGCTTTCATATGGATGTGATTTCTCACAGTCACAAAGCATGGTTCTCAGTGCATCCTGATGTTAAGTGGAAAGTGCAGCGTATCTCCTACCCCTTATGGAAACCTTTAAAGATGCATGGTTATTTATTTATTTGCACTTACATGTTTTATTTCATACCTGTCGATATAAATGCATGTAAGCCACATTGCCAATACTTTCAAATTGTGATGGGAAATGTTTACTTCACCAAATATCCAAACACGTTTTACCAAGTATTATGTGAGAGAGATCACTCAAACTTTACACAGATGGGTCGGCAACCTCCTCACCGATGGCAAAGACCTCCGCCAAAAATGTATTGTGCAAACTTTTTCACGTACGTTTACATGACAAATGAGAAGTATTACATTAATGTAATTTGTGATTGTAGTAATCAGGCGTCGAAAAGGAAAATGGCTTATTAGGAGCTTTAACGAAATCAACCACCCCATTCGGCAGTTTCCTTTAGGGAGCCAAGTAGTGACCCTTCCGAGTCACTCATGAATACACACATTTGCAGCTCCTTAAATGGTTTTTACCCATAAACGTTTGAGTTATATTTGAACCAGGCTGAGCCTTTTAATCTTATTTTTGCTGAACATTCTCAAGTGATTCATCGCCACTGAGCCATCGGAATGTGTGTGAGACACTGCAGCCTTAAGTAAATTTACTCGGTTTCATATCAAAATGAACATGTGCAATCTTGTATTTTTATGACTGAAATTGCATATTAAAATGTTGTTTTGGTTGTGTAGGTAAAGTGGAAAAGCCTGCTGTGAAAAGCAAAGGTTGGTATATTTTTCTGTTAAGTTGAGCACATTGATTGATACTGCTTTGTTTTCATGCCCAAAACATCCAACATGCGTGTCCTCCTTCCTAAAATGTCCACTCTCAGCCACATGGCTGTGCTCTGGGCTGACATCTTCAAATATGGACATAAGTTGTGCATTTGTGGGGAGAAGCTTAAGTGACTCGATATTGTTGAAATATTGTTATTTTTATTTGCAGTTTTTAATTGTCTGGCTGGTGATATTTTGGCAATTATAACTGTTTTAGAAGTGAAACACACTTACAGTTATTTAGAAAGCAATGAATTTTCACCCAGTCTTCAATTATGGTGACTGACGACACTGGCATTCCCAATTTACAACATAAACTTAAATATGTGTAAGTTAGATGTTCTCATAAACATAACTCCAGCTCATGGACAGTACAGGAATTGTACCCATTGACTACGATGGACAAGTAAAATACATTTCCATAGCCGCGATGCATGTGTTGGTAACGCATTTGTTCATTCTAGAGGAATGAAAACATGCACTTATTGGAAACCTTCATATTTTTTTAAGTTGACTAAATTTGGGGAGTTATGTTCAAAAAGTAAAAACAATTTGCAAGAAATGTGTCCTTTAGTGCACCCTGATGGTGTAGCCACAGAATTACCCACAATGTTTCAGTCACACATGGTTGTGATCGCACAACAGAAAGCAGGGCATTTCACCCCATAGTCCGTGCGGACACTGAATCTTTTTCACTCAAGCAGAGTGGAGAGTAGCACATCATAAATAAACCCCTTTTATGTTATGTAATTTAAAAAAAAAAATTACAGGCAGGTCAAATTATTGTTATTTTAAGTTCCTGTCAAAGTGCCTCCCTGCTGGACGTAGCATTGTGGTAGCACTAACCACCGTTGGAGTAATTTCACATTTCCATGGTGAGCGACACGATTTACACAAAGTGGTATTCGATCCTGGAGGGATAATTGGCCTAGCCAAACAGGAATTTAATGTATGACCTTACACATACGGGCTGAGTGCTCTGCCATAGCACCACCCAACTGGATATATATTTATTTCACGAAGCGTAACTTTGGCAATTGTTTGCAACTTTGCTTCGCAGAGGTGTGCAAGCTGCCGCTCAATGAGGGCACCTGCCAGAATTTTGCCCTCAAATGGCATCATGATGGCACCGAGCAGCGCTGCATCCAATTCTGGTACAGTGGCTGTGGTGGCAATGCCAACCGCTTCGACACAGAGGCTGAATGTGCAAGGACTTGTCACCAGCCAGGTGAGGCCCAATATGCACAGCAGCGCTCACTGCCACCTCCTTAACTGCTGCATGTGCTGTTGATCAGTCTCTGCAAAGTTAACCAGCTCATGGATCCTATAGACCCCATAGAGTCCACACACTTTTACCTTATGTGACTGACAATACAAGGATGTATTATTTTACTGTAATAAATGACCTAATGATATCAATGTGTCACCTATGAGACATTAAGGGCTTGATTCATATTGTAGTTTTGCCCATCATTCTGTCACTTATTGGCGGAATGATGGCCGCTCCTCGTAAAATCTTGGAATGGCCCAAAATTGACAGGGTTCAGGGCACTGCCAACATTTGTCATAAGCTGTCACAATGTATCATCATTTAAACCACTTATCATCAAGTATTGCTAAGCCAAGAAGGCTTAACAATACATTATACACCTCAGCGGAGGATGCAAACACCTTTTAGCATGCGTGACTTCATGTGACACCGATTGGTCAGCTTGGTGCGTTGGAAGGAGATTAGCACATGCAATTTTTTTACGGACTGTGAATGAACCGTGCAGATATTTAGGCCACAAACTGGGATGTGAATTAAGTGCAATAGAGTTTTCTGAAATGTCAACATAGTGCTAGATTACACAACTCTGTGTAAACAAACTCGAGATGAATCAGGACCTGAGTTCTTTTTTCCAAGTGCAACCAATTAACTCTTCAGGGACCTGGTATAAAATTACTTGAGAGAGAGAATTGAATGTTTTCTTTTTGTTTCAGATGTCCGCATAAAGGTAATTTTTTTTGCCTTTTTAAATCGCTTCTATTTAAGGCTTCATGTTCAAAACCTTCACAGCAAATATTATATTAACCTTAGACTGATAGATTTCACTCTTTCCCACAACTACATTACTCACTTCGCTGTTATGTATGGAAAAATTCTAGAGTAAAAATACATTTAAAATGTAAACACATTTTTTAGGCTTCCACGTGATATTTGTGGTTCAATAATAACTTCAGTAATTGTGTTACAGGTTCTCAAGCTAGAGCAAAGAAGACACAGGAAGATGAGCCACCCACGCAATAATAAGGATACCAATTTTTCGTATTCATTACTAAGTTTATTCAAAACCCAAACTCACACACGTCAATCCTAAACGCAATCCTTGATATATCGTTCTTTGGAATGTGCGTTTTAAACACATTCACAACACAAGTGTTTATTGGCGAATTCAGTTCACGTTGTGGCCTTGTTTCTGTGCTTTTGTGGTCAGTGTGGGTACCTATTGTTAGATTTTTTTTTATAAATTACGTTCAGTCTTTTTTTACTTTGATATTTTTGTTGCAATACATTACGGTGCTTGGCTACAGCTAGGCAAGGTGTTTGTGAAAACACAATACCTGTGAATTTTATGAAAACAACCGAAATGGAGTCCTGTGGTTTGTAATGAATTATTTACGTGATGGAAGTTTGCAGGGCAAAAAATAGTCACATTCATTAATCACTGTTTTTTCTTTGTGAAAATTAAATCATACGTAATTATAAAGGATGTTCGTCATTGTATTTCCAATCTTAAATAATTTGCGAATCAAGAGGGAATTGCTCTTTACTATTTTTAGAAATATATAAAAAAATGCATTCACTTTAGCTAATATCAGGAAAATGCATACCACTACATTAATTGTGCCAAGCAAAATTTGGAAATGCTGCCGTTTGATATTCAATGGTGGTATTCATTGTGTAAAACAAGTGTGGAACTGGCACATTCTTTGTACACTGCTTCTAATAAAAACATGAAGATCCCATACTCAGGACTCTTTGTACGCTCTGCTTCATTTGTATAACCATATATTTAGAGATAGGATATGTAATGGGACAAATCTATTTCTTGTTTAAACACTCTCACATGACTCATGGAATGAAGGGATCTGTACTATCTTAAGTAATCATTAGAGTATATATGCTTTATATTTGCATGTCTAGGCTACATTCGTTTATTAATGGGAATATTCTGGCTTCAGGGTAGGCTGTACGAAATAACATCCGGTGGGTGCTGAGACTAAGCAATGATTATCACAAGAGACATCTTGGAGTCGGGGAGCCTGGGAGGCCCTGTAGTTAGTCTATTCCCATTGTGCCTATTACATGCACAATTACCACAAACGCTGCACTTGTTCTATTCTTACTCAAGTTTAAATTTATGTATGTGGCTACAATAATACCAAGTGAGGCAGAAGTTAAGAAGTTAGTAGTATGCGCTGTAACAGGTCTGTGAGACTTATGAGGCTGGCAATCTGTCAAAAATGCTCATCCAATGTCAAGCACACACACAAAAGCCTAGAATAAGTTTAAATCGTATTCAGTTGGATCTCAAACAAATGAACATCGCCTAAACCATGTGTCAACAAAGGAATCTGGTCTTAAGCAAGTTAAAATATTGATGAATTATTTCTTTTGCAATTGTTTTTTAATTTTCCAAGTCCCAAGCAATGAAGACGATAGCAATGCAAGTGTACATTATAAATATAATTTTCACGTTATGCTAAAACATTTTTAGATTAGCCAAGGTTGCATGAAAGATGCATGAAAGTTGCTTTAGATATGTACGAGGTCTCATATGACTATTGTAAGAACATTTCACCTCCTAAAACTTCAAACTGCTAAATACACGCAATAATGACAAAATAAAATAAAAAAACCCAGTAAAATGCAATTCATGATATTTCAAACACAGCATGAACAGGAGTTAATGAACTATCAAAAGGCTGGATGCAAACACTTTTTTACGTTATAATATGTCTTTTACACCCAAAAATATCATTACATCACAAAAACAACACAGCTGTAAAACTTGAAAATGGTGTCCTCAAACGGCAATGATATTCGGTTAATGTCCTGAAAATTTCTGGTATAATGGCATGTCTACAAACTAACTATAATATGTAAATCGATAAATGTTACAAGTGACAATAATCTGCAGTGGGTGACATTCAAAGTATGAAATGGACTCAGTGGGATGAACTTGTTAATCACATGGAAAATAATTAGAGCTTTCAAAGTACATTCACTCCCTCCACTGGGTTTAATACTACCTGACAACCTCTATGGACTCATCCCTCCCTATCTCTTAAGTCATAATAATTTTCTCACTCAATCCCCTCTACTCACACTCTGCTCCAGCAACTAAGGCTCTCTGTTGAAGGCCCACTCGACGACCTTCGCTCAGTGAGAGATAATTGAATCCCCTCTGCTGTCCCCATAGTGTGGAATCCCTGCCCACAACGTCTGTACAGTCGACTTTCTCCACATAGTCAAGGCTCAAGACTTTTCTGTATTCTTCTGACTGCGTCATTCCCTCAATAAAAAAAATATTCCTATACGTTCTGTACTGTCTTGCAATGCGCTAGAACTTGGATGCTATAGGTTTCCCTCGCTTTATGCAGTTGATGTGTTCCCAAAAAATCCCGCTCAAATCGAAATTGCGTAGTATGAACTTTGCAGTCACCCAATCCACAATGCACGGCACAAGACAGCTGCCTGTCGAGCAGCGCATACAATACACACAATGTTGTCTCACGTCCAACCGCATAGCCGCATTTGAGTAAATTAAAACCACATGTAGTGAATTTTTGGTAGTAACAGATTAGCCGCATTAATGCGAAATCGCACAAACCTAACTCGCATAAAGCAAGGGATACCTATTCTTAGGTTTTTCGGTAAAGTCAACGTAGGTAAAAAATAAAAATTAATAAAAGTAAAATAAAAATCACGACGTTTCGGAGGCAACACAAGCTTCCGTCTTCAGGTGGAACAGTCACAGCACGACAGCTGTATCAAGTGAAAGAAATTCCAAGAAAACTGTATTTTTATATATACTGGTTGAGGGTGGGAGGAGCCAAGGTAGGCCCTGAATATTATTTTTGTGAGGTTCGGTGCGGCTGAAGCCGCTGTTAGGAATGAGCCTTTGTTGTGTAAACTAGGTGCAGATGATGTAAAGGTGCATGTAAAAGAGCCTGAGCCTTTGTGTTATGTAGAGATGATGCGGCTTAAATCGCTGCCAGAAAATTAGTCTTTGTTGTGTAGAATGGTTGACTGAGCCTATTGTTATGTAGAGGTAGTGCGGCTGAAATCGCTGCCAGGAATGCTCCAAATATGTGTAGTTAAATCTTTTTTGCATGGTTAATAACATCTGTCCAATGATTACTAAGTTTGTACCCATCATCACGGTTGAAATTATGTCTGTGTTTGTATATTTGGATGGCCTCGTGTACAAACCTTTGATGGTAGCCAGGAGGCTTGCAGAGCACCTTAGTCTCGGAAAAGACAATTTCATGAGAGCCCACAGCGTTGTAGCCATGATCGGCAACGGCGGAAGAATCAGTTTTGCCGTGTTTCAGATCTGACTTGTGCTCACGGACACGATCAGACATATGACGTTTCATGTCTCCAATGTAGCAATCACCACAACTGCAACTCAGTTTGTAGACTCCAGGGTATTGTAAGTCAGGAATTACATCTTTCACAGATGGAATTAGATCACGAATTTTATGTACTGTACTGAATCGGACTTGAATCTTATGTTTGTTTAGAATTTTGGAGATCTTTTTGGTCACGCCTGCTATGTATGGTAATGTGATAGTTTTGATCGGAGTTTCATGTGGCTGTTTCTGTATGGTGGGAGAAACAGCTTGGCGGATGGTGCGGTCAGAGTATCCGTTCATCCGGAGGGCCCGATGTACATGTCTCAACCATTCTACACAACAATGAATAATTTCCTGGCAGCGATTTAAGCCGCACCACCTCTACATAATAATAGGCTCAGTCAACCATTCTACACAACAAAGACTAATTTCCTGGCAGCAATTTAAGCCGCATCATCTCTACATAACAAAAAGGCTCAGTCCCTTTTACATGCACCTTTACATCATCCGCACCTAGTTTACACAACAACAAAGGCTCTTTTCTAACAGCGTGCTTCAGCCGCACCAAACCTCACAAAAATAAAATTCAGGGCCTACCTTGGCTCCTCCCACCCTCAACCAGTATATATAAAAATACAGTTTTCTTGGAATTTCTTTCACTTGATACAGCTGTCGTGCTGTGACTGTTCCACCTGAAGACGGAAGCTTGTGTTGCCTCCGAAACGTCGTGATTTTTATTTTACTTTTATTAATTTTTATTTTTTACCTACGTTGACTTTACCGAAAAAACCTAAGAATATGAATCCTTGCAGTCACGAAAGCTTCAAATCGAGGGATACCTGTATAAATAGAATTGTATAATATTTAGAATAAAGTTTAGACTCACTCTTCCAGCCAAACACACTTTCAGAATCGTTTAAATCTCATTTTATGAAATTATGATTTCAAAAAATATCTTAGCTGAGGCCACAATAATTATTTGACCACACAAGAAACTGAATGGGTCCAACAAGGACACTGTTTGCAGCATGTCACATGCAAAACTTCTGGACATCTGTGAAACTACTGAACAGCTGTGAAAAATAGCTTTATATCTCATCGGATTCCTCCAGTATAATTACATATTATGATTCTGAAAAAAACTTAGATGTCATATTCCCATTACGAGACCAAAAGAAAGAAACAAAACCCCTAGATTTATGCTCACTACTTTCACACTTCAAAAGTACTGTAAACTATGAAAGCCAGATTTCTAAATAACAGGCCATTTCAGACATCTGCTAAAGCCACCGGCGAATATGGGTGGAAAATATTTACTGCTCACATGCTAAGGTCAGACTTTTGCATTCAGATGATCAGTGTTAACTTCCATCTCCCCAGCGAATGTTGGAATCTGACAGAAAGGTGGCCCAGTGGTGGGAAACACATGCTGCGTAGCCCCGTGAGCATCATATGATAACACAGACGGTTGAGATGTCAGAGTGTGGGTCATGGCGACATGAGGCTCCCACGCGCCGGAAAAGGGGCCCTGGTACCAGCTCGCGGTATACTGGCGTCTCCCCACTCAGTGCCGTCTGGATGTCTTTCAGCTGCACACAAGGACATAGAACATTTTAATGGTAATTATTTTTAGAACAGTCATATTTTAGTTTCAGCTCAGTTTAGAGGCCAACCTATGACAAAAACACGAACTGTACAATATTTAATCTCAGCTTCTGTCAGGGCAGAGCACATTATTAATAATTTCAGAAAGACAACTTGTAAAGAGACGTCATAATTACATTAACTAGTCAAGTGCTAAAAAGCCAATTCAACTGTGGGTTTGTATTGGAAAGTGTAATTTTAAAACATCCAAGAGGAAAACCCCTTTAACATCATACTAATATTAAAAATAATCTATGCCTTTTGATTCCTGGCTGGCTACTGGCTGCTCTCCATCCCAACAATAACTATCCTGTGGGCCGTTGCCATTTTAAACAGGATTATTCTTGTAACATATAAACATTGCGTTGACTCGCATTAAAACGGTGGAAAAATTTCGTAAGGTATATCACAGCGATACCACAGAGGCAGGACTAACAAATAGAGAAGACTGACAGAGTTAATTTAAGAGTGCTTGAACTTTTAAATTTGTGCTCCTATTAATGTAATTATTTTGCCAGCATATTCTTTGAATCTTAGAAAATGTAAAACGACCTCACAATCCATATTATCTTGTCATTTTGTTGCAACAAAACAGCAGATTACTTTTATGGGGCCTGGGGGTTGTCACACGTGAGGGGGGTGGGGGTGTGGGGGGCACTCAGGGGTGGAGAGGTGGGGTGGGGGCCCTCGTACTATGAGGGGTCCTTCCACTCGTTTTAAATGAACTTTACTTACGTGGGAATGTGTTGTTAAATGTTTACAGTGACTCAAGTTAAACCCTATCCACACTTTAAAACACGACCAAGATACCGGCCCAAATCATAAACATTTCACGGCCACCTTCCGTAAGGCGTATAAGCATTGGTTTTTATGATAAATGTTTTTTTACCCTTTTATCTGGAAACAAAACTAACACCTTTTTTTACAAAGAGTCATGTTTGCATAGACCACAATACCTGCAGTCATAATGCAAACAAAAAACATAACTCTGATAATGTATGCACTGTCCTTGAAGTTGATTGGTCCACACCCGAGACAGCTTTCCTGAGAGCCTAGTCTCACATGGTGTTGGACCAGATGACGCCAAAAGGCGCCTTTTGGCGTCATCTGGTCCAACACCATATGAGACTAGGCTCTAAGGAAAGCTGTCTCAGGCGCCTTTTGGCATCATCTGGTCCAACACCATGTGAGACTAGGTTCTAAGGAAAGCTGTCTCGGGTGTGGACCAATCAACTTCAAGGACTGTGCATACATTATCAGAGTTGTGTTTTTTGTTTGCATTATGACTGCATGTATTGTGGTCTATGCAAACATGACTCCTTGTAAAAAAAAAGGTGTCAGTTTTGTTGCCAGATAAAAGGGTAAAAAACTAATTATCATATTTTTTACTGGCAAATGAGGTTCCGATGGTGCATTGGTTTTTAGTTCCTGGCTCAGCACGATGGTGAACAAGAAAGGTAAGCGATTATTCAGACCCAGCCCATTTTGTAACTCTCCTTCCGAAAGTTATATATTTGTATTCATTTCACAATCAATTATAAAAAGGCAAATCATGCTCTATTGCTGCACTAAAAATAAATGCAATTAAGAATTGGCACTCTTATTCTTGACATTTACACCAAATTTTGAAGGGTGACGAAAATCCAGCCTTTGACTCAATGACCATGTGTAGTCATTCATTTCACAGTCAGTGCACAAATAAACGAACAGGCGAACTTACTAAGACAACTGTTGCACGATCCCGATGTGCTTGATAAACAAAGTCTGACAAAACAATCTGTAAAACAATGTAACAAAACATTTCCATCGTCGTTAACAACAGCAAAACAAAAACACATGAAAATAAAAGTTAATTCACACCACCTTCATCAGAGTTACCCTGAGTGAATTATATTGAGCAGGTGGAACACTCACTTGTCTGAGAAAACGAATTTAATGACTCCTGCAGATGATACATGTTCTCATACAGAACACACGCTCGACTAATGCGACTCTCAGATTGACACAGCACAACTGTTTTCCTGGTTCTCTTGGGAGGAGAAATGCTACGTTTTGTCGAGTATTATGAACAGCAATGGTGCATATTCCCCATTGTTTTCCAGTCCCTGTGTGAGCAACAACGCAAACATAGCAAGCAACTGCAATCAATATTCTATCCACATTGAATTAATTACCAGTTTCCGCTCGGCTTCCTCCAGTTGCCGCACCGTTTCAGCATCCTGGATATAAAACATCTGAAAATACAGTTTGTCAGTGCCAATGTGACCACATTAATTGATTATGGATATTTAATTGCACGTTCACATTGAAAATATAGTTTTGTGTATGCGAATCATGAGTCACTGCCGTTACATGGTTTTTGCTTGGACCCGTTTGGTTCCTTTCTTGTCCACACTGAGCTTTGTCTTCCTTCACCGTTTCAACTTGTGTTCCACAGACTTCAATGGTGAGAACAGACTTTGCAATGTAATCTAAAAACTGTAACCAAGGAAGTAAAGCAGATTGTTAATGGAACGAAAACAGATGCAGAACGATAACTATCTGTACTCATTAAGTAAACCATGTAAATATGGCCCGTGTTTTCAACATATAAAATGTGTTTATAAACTAAACTTGCAAAAGAATGACAACGAAATAGTAATACTGTACACTTTTTATGCATGCAATATATTTGAGGTTGTTTCAATACATATGCCATTCTATAGCATATTTTGGTAAAATGCAACATTTAAATACTCCTCTCCTATTAACTCACAAATGCTCTTCCATTGCTAAGTCTAACATTCATGGAAAAAATAATGCCTCTGTCACCACAGAGAGAGAATGCTTATTGGTGCATGCATTTACCAACTTGGTTGCAATATGACTACAGAGAATACGTACGGTGAAGGACAATGTATTTCAAACCTCCTCAGTGACAGGACTGAAGAAAAAGGTCTTCTCAAAGTTGTAGTCAGGGTTACTTGAGGCCACTTCTGCAGTCTCATCCTCATCTTCACAAAACAGCTTAAATCTACAGTGAGTCTGTGTATACGGGAAAAAAAGTGGAGTTGCAAATATTGTTAATTTTGGCAGCCAGCTTGTTTATTTGTCTGTCTACATTTTCTACATATAGTTATACGGTGTATATTATACGCTTTCCATTTCGACATTTTTGTAATTGAGAACAAGCAAGTGGATCATGCAGCGATGGTTGGCGTGAGTTGGCACACGCGTTGAGCGCACGCGACAAAACAGGCCACGTCTCTCGCTTCTAGATCGTGTCCAAATGCAACCCGGGCCTCGACGTTTAGATTGTTTATAATGTGTTTCTATAAGCACAAGTGAAATACACACACGCACATTTAAAAATGCATGTTGTTACTGCCATCCCCCACCTATTATTAATTAATCATTGTCATACCCAGCTGGAGATACATACAATATCTGCCGCTGAGTGTGAACAGAAGCAACAGCGTTGCGTCAGACATTAAAACGTTTCCCAACTTGTTTCGACTGCCAGGTGTGGCAATTCACGCAACCCATGCAGTTCCATTTCAATATGTGGATTGCTTTGGAGTATGCATTTCATGCCACTACGAAAATCCATCTCACATTATTCGTGCGCAGAATATGCGGAGGTTGTCAGGCACATGGATGTGAGGATTAAGGGACTGTAAAGCATGTGAGGATTAAGAAAGTCACTGGGTGTGGGAACGACTTAGGAAAAACAGGTATTTGGTGAGGTATGTGGATTAGGAAAGGTAAAATATGGGGTGCAGGTGTTGGGAGACAGGAAAGCGTTGGGCTTTTAAGATATAAAGACAGGTGGGTACGTTGTAGTGGTGGTGGAGTGTGTAGCATAGATAATGGGGTGGATAGAGTTAAGGTGCTGGGAAAAGGAGTGTCATTATATCCAGATAAGAATGCAGCCTAGGGCCATGGGCAGGCAAACACAGGCACACCATCACTCACCTTAGTGAAGTGCTCAGGAATACCTCGGGCCCCCAAAATCCTTATTAGGAGGTGCAGTTGCTTACCAATCTGCAATGCAAAGTATCACTATTAGATTCGCCCAGGGACTCCATTGGTCGAAAATCAACCGGAGGAGACACAAAGCCTAATGCCAAATGATTTTCAGTTTTATTTAAAATAAAAAACACATGCTGCTGGGACAATGGCAATTACTCAACGAATATATTTGACTCAAGTAGGCAAACGGTCATCCGTGGTTTCTGTACAACATCTGCTCAAGGTTCTCTTTTTAATGTGAAAATAAGAATACTTTCTCTTAAATAATTAAATACATCATTAGACCTCCTTTGCCAGTACCAAACAATTATAATAAGCTTTCCCCCTTTTTTTCTGGCAACAAAACAGAAACCTTTTTACAAGGAATCATGTGTGCATTAACCACAATACTTCTTTGCATTTTGACCACAAGTATTGTGGTTAATGCACACATGATTCCTTGTAAAACGGTTTGTTGTAACAGCTCTCTCGCTGGTTCAGCAGTTCCACTGCTGGATTATATTTTTCTGCCTGAGGACGACCGCTTGTGTTGCGATTGAAACGTCGTGATATATATCTATTTTTTATTTCTCCACCTATGTGACTTCACGAAAGCTTCAAATCTTATTAGTATCTTTGGTTTTAAAAGATCACGTAACTTACTTTAATGCTGAACATGTTCCAATAGAATAATGCACCCATGTCAAGTCTAAAGGACTAGTTGCTCATGGCAGTGCAATGGATTGTTGTTGACCTTAAAATAACACTCAGCTTCAAGCATTGAAGTGCACCCGAAGCTCCTGATATTTCAGGTCTTACGTAAGTCAGCTCCAAAAGATGTCTTTACTTACAACCTTTCTACGAAAAAATAGCGGGCAACTAATAACCGTCCAAGATTAACATGATAATTTCATTTACTATGGTGGTCCTCACTAAGAGGTGTGCATTAGCTTATTGTTGCTATGCAAACTTATTGAGTTATCCCCCTCTTTTATACAAAAGTAGACTTGCCCTCACCTGTTGTACGATATACAAATATTTATGTGCCTCGGTTTCTTGGCTTTCCCTCTATTTCTTGGGTTTTCTCTTTCGGTTTCTTGGGGTTTCCACCAGGATTTCCAGTAGGAATCTCACTGATTTAAACCCTTTAGAGTTGACATGTACTATCATGTATACTTAATTTTGCAACAAAAGAGTAAATGTAAGATATTCCGATTTAAAAGTGATGTTTACAGTATGACAGTTCACAGTAATAAATGTGATGTCAAGTGATGTATTTGGAAAGACACATCTAATGAGATCACAGACACTATGTGCATCATGAAGGATGCACAGCCATCATCAGGCTGGGTTTATAACAGAGAGCCTGTCATTGGTTCAATTTATATGGATGCAGACGGTGGTTTAAAAGGTGTGGCGAAGGCATTTAAAAGTAAGTAATGCATAGATAGAAAGCAGAGATGTAATAAAATAAGTTTAAGGAAGGGAATAATTTTTGCAAATGAAAATGAATCCATAGTCATCAGATGATCACATATTTGCATATAAAATACTTTTTTCTACATGGAGAGATGGATAAACGAAGGAGACATTGACTTATATATTTTGTGACATTATGAGCAGATTAATTTGAATTTTTGGAGAGATAAAAAATACAATAATTATTTTTATACACGATACACATTAAAGCAAATCGTATTATGGGTAGCAGGGTGGTCTCACTACCAAAACCTGGCTAGACCCTACTGTCAAATAGTGTTCATATCAGCAAGGCTTTCCTGGGGAAAGAAACGTAGTAGTAATAATACATAACAACATTCATTTAAGAGTTCCCCTTGCTTTCACAAAAATGTAGGACCAGTCATTGATCACAGTGGTCCCTCAGCTGAATGTATCATACTGACAGGCATGTGGACTACCCATGAAAAAATTTCGGCATTTGATATTTTGCTGGCCCTGCATCAGAGAAGTACAAATGACCACTGTGCAAAATGTTACAGAACATCAATTGGAGCCTCAATGTAAAATCTCTGCGGTATTCTGAATACTAAAATTCATTTCTGGTGTCTAGTATTCAAGGCAGAATTTTATTCTTGGTAAGCTACATGCTTAAATCAGCATTTTAGACTGGGAAGGACATACATCTAAATAAAAAACACACTACTGTATACCAGTTTTTACATGTGTATTTGTTTATTTATTTGTAAACTTTATTATGACTTTATTCTTCTAGCTTAACAACGGACGATTGATCTAAACTTGTGCAATAGTTATGTGATAATATCACAGATTACCTAATTAACGGTTGCTTAATTAAGACTTTAGGCTATGTATTCTTGGCAGATTTGTGATGTAAACATCAAATAAACATTGTAGGTACAAATTAATGGAACATAATTTAACAGGAAAGAGCAAATTCACATGTAACATCATGTTTATTTATGCTCGAAAGCCACATCCGGTCCATTTTAAAATGCATTAAAACCAACAACGAGGACAACATTTTCTGACTTCAAAATAAAAGAACATGAGCGGTCCATTTTCACTGGTATGAGTGGGAGATGTTGAAATACGTATTCAGCTATGTTAGCTGATTATAAAGCTTTGTCTTTGTGAAACCTGCTCCTTCTTTCCAAGACAGCCAGTGGCACATTCCGTAAGCGAGAGTGAACGGTGCTCATCATTAATGCTCCTACCAGCTCGTTTGGATCGCCGACTTGCTGGCGTTTGGGCGCACCATCAGAGTCACACGGCTGGATGAGCACATGCAGATGCCCCTGCTCCTGCCCATGACAATCCAGCACGGGGTAAGTATCGCTAACCGCCAGCTGTCCAGAGAGGGGAGAAAACAACGACGAATTTAAAATTCACTACGGATTATGTTAAAGCAAGCTTTGGCGGTTGCTTTGTTCCATAACAGGCAACACAGCGAGTAATAAAATAAGTAGACCTGTTCTTCACCTGATGACGGCTGCTTGCGTTGTGGCCGAAACGTCGTGAGAATTATTTTATTATGTTTAATTTTTATTATTTTATTACTTCCCTTCTACGTGACTTTACCGAAAGAACCAAGAAGATGAATCCCTGCAGTCACGAAAGCTTTAAATCGAAAAATAAGTCAAGTAAATCATCCGTTTCTATTGTTGTTGTCGTTGGGGGGTTTAAACAGGTGTATAAAGAGAACACCTTCTAGCACTTACGAAGGAAGGTCACAACTTTTGCTTGGGGGGTTTCTGTGGAGGCATCGATACAATCAAAATACGTGCATATCCAGCAAGCTATTCCCGGTGCTCTTCTGCCAAGGGCACAATTCCTACCCGTGAGTGATTAGAGAAAGCCAGGTGGACAGAGACACAGACAACCAGGCATCAAAGGCCTCTCATGAATTACTACTGTCCTGTCTCGTGTTTCCTCCCTCAGCATCCTCTTACCTGGTGGGAAAGAGGCTGCAGGGCGACCTGGACCACACCCACAGACACGGTGTTCTCCGGACATTCCCAAAACGGGTCCTTGTCCTGCATCGGGAGCAACAGCAGCACTGCATGAGCACATGTTTAGGCTCCGTATTGAGTAAACCAAATGGAGTTATTTACTTCTTAACAAAATACAGAGCTCGTAGCATGCACAAATTAAAATGTGTATATAATGGAGTGCATTGCCTTAAATGTGATAATGTTTAATGGCTGCATTCACAAATTTACTATGAAATGAATTACATCAATTGAGAATCCCTGCAGTCACGAAAGCTTTAAATCGAAAAATAAAACCAATTGAGAAATTATATTTCTATTTCTTCATACTTAAACTGTATTTGAAAGATATATCAATACAAAGTGTCATGGATGTCATTGTTGATTTTGCAAGCTCTTGAAATATTATTCTACTTGCAACATTGCAGGGTCACATCATGTCTCCTCTGATATAAAATACTGGTACGATAAATTACAATGTTATAAGAAATAGTTTTGCATTACTTGTAAAAATACTAGGTGCCTTTTGTTGTATTTTATGACTCACTGCTTTTCCAAAAGCAGATGTTCTTTGGTACGTCTCTGGCTTAATTTTGGCTGAACTCTGCTGCTTCTTGAAAACGTGTTCCCAAGGGCAACCTTTTTTGGCAAATATTCTGGCTGTACAGAATATGCCCATGGCCTTAAATGCCCTGATTCCCTATGACTCACTTTGTCTAGGCAAAACGGCGCATAGAAAATTCTCGAGTCCATTTGAACAAAAGTACTTTTATTTAAATCTTGACATAAAGCTTTCGTGACTGCAGGAATTTATACTCTTAGAGTCTTTCGGTAAAGTCACGTAGATAGAAAAATTATAAAATCATAAAAAAATCATGACGTTTCGATCACAACACAAGCTATCATCTTTCGTTGAAAAAAATACAGCAGGCTATATTTCTTCCTGCCTCAGCAGTCCACCTGCTGTATTTTTTCACCTGCTTTTTTCACCTGACTTTACTGAAAGACCCAAAGAGTACCTTTATTTAACCGATATCCTGGCAACTCCTTACAAAAAGAAAGTTGCAATAAGAAAAAAGTTATAATTTTTCCCTTTAAAGACTTGCAGAGTTTACAGGACCCTGACAGCAACAGGAGATGTATGAACATTAATGGCCGACGTATGGCTTAATTGCTCCCTCGTTTAGCACATGGTAGTGTCTGGTTTGTTAAATTAAAAACATTCTCATCCTTCTGAATCTGGAATGTTTCCAGTTGCAATCTAATAAAGATGTATTAAATTAAAATTGTCTGTGATACTCCTCATATGTAGCAGTCACATTGGCCCAGTCTCTCCAAGTGTGAAAGCTCTGACCTAGTTTAAGGTTGAATGACCACCTTTAATCACTCTTGGAATCTGTGAATCCGTCCTAACTAATCTCATCTCCCAGACACTCTCGACCTCGTAATCTTTAACACCAAGTCCATTGTTCTCACCACCCTTTCACCAGTCATGTTAAGCGACTACCACCTCATTATTTTTTTGGGTTCCCAAGATTCTCCTTCCAGGTCTCAAATCTAATTTTACACCACAAGACAACTGTATGCTTCACTTATTGACTCTCATATTGTGTGTCCATCCATCCTTGCTTCATGGACCATCAAACATCCCTTTTATGAACATTAAAGTGCCACATTTTCTACTTTTTTACATTTAACTTATTTCGCACCTTACTCAGCCAACCGTGATACTTATCACGGTCAATCGGAGGTGTGGGGGAAGGACAACAAGCTAAATACAAAAAGCAGTTCTAAAGCAATACGTTTTCAATTTAGATGTAAAAGTGCATAGCTCCAATGGCTTCCTAATATCGGAAGAGCATCCAGACGGCTGCACAAACGCATCTGAAAGTGTGTGATACAGGTGTTGAGGAGTTCCCAGGACGCACTCGTTTATGAAGGTAAGTTGAGGGCTTTCGCCAAAGGTTTATTAAAGGCTTTACAAATTAACACAAGGGTACACAATTCCTAGGGATTAGGGGTCCTACTCTGAGTCCGGGTCCCTGCCGGCTGGCTCCGGTCTCTCTCTCTCGTGTCGGATCGGGGACTCTGCCAACTCCACCAACCGGAGAGAGAAGCACCTCTATCGGCTATCACCGGCTTCTCACCAGACTCTCCACTCGATCCCTCTCTACCCCTGGCGCCCTCTCTACCCTTCTTACTCTACCCGTTCCCACAGTGACCACGCTTTCATCACGGGGTCTCCCTTAAGTACTCTAAGAGACGTGACTTCATCGAGCTGCCCAGCGCGCATGACGTCACGTTCCGTGGCATCATCGCACTGAACGACACAGGGACCATCTTTTGACCATCTTTGTTAGATGGTTCCTGATATTTTAAATGGGCCATTTAGTCATTGGTGCTTATCTCCTGTTAACATAGCCCTACAAAGTCTGTGGTGGAAATTCCACATTCCTATGGCAGGGAGGACGAGTTTATTCATAACAGAAACTGCTGTGGGCTTCCTCACCCCCCACCCTTGCATAAAAAGTAGTACTGATTTGATCAACCCCAAAAGGAGGGTTGGATGGATGATGGGCTGAGTCAACCATCTCAATGGCAACCAGGATTTGAACCTGCGACCTTCTGATTGCGAGCCACTCACTGCTCTACGGCTGGGTTCAAGCCCTGGGTCTGCGTGGTCTCTGTCTCTAATGATGTGAATGATGTTACCCCTCTGAAGACTCCAGCCCCTTGGTAAGGACAGCTGTTTTGTGTGAGCGAAAAACCATTGACTTGAAATTTTATTAACTTTTATTTGTTATACGGATGATGTATAAATATAATCTTGAAATCCACCACCAGGCCTCAAATGCTCATTAAATCACATCAGTCAGCCCTGGTGAGAGCCACATCAGATCTCTTCTACTTGGGTCTTATCACAAATGGTGCTATAAAATCTAAATCCATTTCAGCACTGTAAACTTCCTAATACATTCCCTCCATAACCGCACTTCCTCCACTACTTACTCAGTTGCCAAGTGTGAACAGCCTGCCTGATTTTATAAAAAGGTCGAAAATAATAGCAATGTTATTTTAGTGTCTGACTCTCCTATTAACTGTCCTTCTGTCTCCTTACTGTTTAAAAGTTGACATACCTCAGCCTTTAACTATAAATGACGTAATCAAAATAATCTCCAGCCTAAAAAAACGTTAATTTCTCGATCCAGTGCCCACCAAACTCATCCCTCGCTGTGTACCCACCCTGGCCCAGTACATTACCATAAATGCCTCCATCTCATCCAGTACCATTCCATTCATTCTCAAGACTGCCGCTGCTACTGCTGCCGTGACTCCCATCCTGAAAAAAACCCCACGTTGATTCCAAAATCCTTGAAAATGTCCATCTAATCGCAAGGCACCCTTTTGTTTGAAAAGTCCAAAAAGGGTCATCTTATTCTTTGGGTCTTTCAGTATAGTCACGTAGATAGGTTGAAAAAACTATGACATTTCGATCACAGCACAAGCAATCCTCATCAGGAGGGACGTTTCGATCACTTAAAGTCTTAGTCACTGCAGGAATTCATATTCTTTGGTTCTTTCGGTAAAGTCACGTAAATAGGTTAAAAAACTACGACATTTCCATCACAACACTAGCGACTGTCAACTTATCTACGTGACGTTACCAAAAGATCCAAAGAATATGAATTCCTGCAGTCACAAAAACTTAAAGTCAAGGGTAATGTACTCACATTTTTCCAAACACCTCTATCTCAATGGCCTCCACGACCCAGTGAAATCTGGTTTCCACAAAGGTCATTCTACTGCAACTTCTCAGTTCAGATCATGACTAATTCTCATTTCGTTCTCCTTGAGCGTCGTCTTAATTATGTAGGCATCACAGGCACATTTCTGACTCCAGATCTTACCTCTCAAACTGCTTCTATATTTCTATACGAGGACTCTTCCTTAGAGACAAGGTTCCATCCTCAATCCCCTGCTCTTCTTTAATACATCTCCCACTTGTATAAATAATCTCCAGTTTTAATATCGACCATCACTTCTTTGCTGAAGACGCCAGTACTGCATCACCACTGACTCCATAGACCCAACCTCACCGTCTCACATCTTGCCTTTACACGATCTCATCTTGGATTGGATCTAATATTCTCCAGCTAAATATTGCCCAAACTGAAGCACTCCTGATTGGCAAAAAGTCCACAATCAGTAAAGACTCCTGACTGAGTGACTCCTACACTTTGAAATTGCACCGGTGAAGAGTGTGTCATTAATCCTGACCCCGTTACAAAATGGCTGCACACAAAACCCCAATCATATAAAATTTGATTTGCACTTGATTTGGCTTTTTTCAGCTCGGAGATAAATCAAAATGTTTGGTTTCACCATCATGCGAGACCTACACAAGCAGAGTGTGAGAGAAAGTGTGGCTCTTGCTTTATAAACGATAAACAGACTTGAAGGATGTTTCTGAAGTTGTGTTAAAATTCTCTCATAAGCTGTTCGCTGACACGTGGGAAATGCTGCTGTGAGATTTCAAAATTAATATTTGTCTCATGATGTAATGCTAATTTCACAATTGGAATTTGTTGGGATACAAAGACAATAAACACTTCCAAAAGTAAGCATCTATAAACTTTGATGTCTAAATAAACACAATTAATCAGGGCACTTAAAGCAAAACTATTTTGAAGCAATCTTATCCACAACGCAATTTTAGTGTTTATTAAATATACGTGCAGGATTTTCATTGTGTAAGTTGTTGTATGAAGTGCATAATGTACTGTATATAATACTTGACACTTATATCAAGCATAGCTGCTATATTTGTCATGCACGTGGTGCCAATCACAGTTTTGTCGGTTTCATCGGATCAGCCCAGGACCGTTGGATAATTGTGTGCTGGATAATCGATGAACAACTAAATTGTTTTCCTGTGAAACTGCATCGACAATAGTAATGTGGAATATGTTTTCGTGGCTCAGAGTCGTTACGACCCTGCTCCATGCACATTTAAACAGGGGGGCTCCGACTTGACGTTAAGGTCATGTCGTTAGCGTTGGAATTAAAGGACACCTCTTCAGTTACGCGTACACGATGTCTGTGATTCACCAACCCCACTCACACAGTGGTCGTTAACAGATAGGTTCTTCTTTCATATGGATGTAAATTGAGCAACTATAAATCTAGATCTAGGTAATGAGTGAATCACTCATGCCCTCGGTGATTGCTCGCAGTGGACATTAGCTCACATAGAGAGCCAATGTATTCCAGTCACATTTGCGCGATTATTTTATTTTCCAGTTGTGGAAAATATGAATTCATCTGCCACGGTCAATCATAAATACAGTGTATGGGGGCAGTGAGCTTCCTGATGGCTGGATGATGGGATTCTCGATGTGGTGCTTATTCGGGATGATGGCATTCTCACAGTTTTTCCTCCACCAATCTTTGACGTTACAGACAGGTGCAAGTTCACTGATTCAGTGATGCAGTCGCTTGTGTGTGAGGTACAGTGTTGCTGCTCTGCTTTATTACCCGGGGCAGATCCCAGTTGTCGCCCTGCAGGTATCGCTGGTACATCTCTTGCATAAGAAACCGTCTGCCCAGGAACTCCCTCGGGCGCAGCAGGAATTCCAGGCCAGATGCCAGGTGTGTCATTTTAACACGCACCTGTCACACAGTCCACATCCACATTCCTCCTTGTATGGCTTTAAACAGTTTGTATTTATTTATTACATATATATTTTCTTGCATCCCAAGTTGTTGTGATGAGAATTCCCAACTCTAAGTACCCTACAAAGATTGATGTTACATGTATCAAGTTTCATTGTATTACTGTGTTTAAGATCCGTCATTGCTTCATATTCAATCACACACTTCCATGAAGTCGCATTACCGGAATGACAGCCTTAAGGCCAAGTAAAAATTGTATTCTTGGAATTGTAGGTGCTTTGGTAAAAAAAATGGTTCTATACCAATGCTGTCACTATATATACAGACACATTTTTTTAAATCAGACATTTCATGGAAATAAATGCTACATCAGTGGTCTTTCTGGAATTTTTCAAGGAAACTGTGGTCAAATGGGAATCTAATTTTAATGTAAAGCACAAGTCCATTCTTTCAGCGGAACCATATGGTATTTTACCATTTATATTCATTAGTTTGGCATCTACTTCTGTCTCTTCTATACATGTCTCGGCCTCGCTGTGTGCTGCGTTGCACCACTATCTGAGTAGTTAACCTCGTATTCAATAAACTCTCAGAGCCAGGGTGAACATCCGACTCCGAGGTATTAAATTAATTGAACGAGATAAATCTGATGGAAAAACACAGCACAAAATACAGCATCTGTTAATACTTGGAATATCAATACAATGAACACTGCAGCATTATAACTTTGTCTTAGATAACATGAAACTCAACAATAGGTCCTGGATGGACCAGGCACCTACATTGGCACTGAATAGCTGTACAAGAGAATAAGCTACTGTGTTAAATAAGGTCACATCGTGTATTCACCATACTGCAGCCTAAATGTACAGTGCTGCACATAACACTGAACTGTGGATGAGATATTTCTTCATCCTTGCTCTCAAGATCGCATTCAAGTTACATGAGTACAAGTCTGACTCGACTTATTCAATTACAAGTAACATTCACAATAATGCAAGTGGCAGGCTTCGTTGTTAACTAGGCCTCATATTTATCATAACAATTTAACAGCATTTTAAAGACATTTACAGCATTATAACGGCAATCCTAACATTATAACAGCATCATTGGAACCTCATTTGCCAGTAAAAAATATGATAATTGGTTTTTTACCCTTCTATCTGGCAACAAAACTGACACCTTTTTTACAAGGAGTCATGTTTGCATAGACCACAATACCTGCAGCCATAATGCAAACAAAAAACATAACTCTGATAATATATGCACCGTCCTTGAAGTTGATTGGTCCACACCCGAGACAGCTTTCCTTAGAGCCTAGTCTCACATGGGTTGGACCAGATGACGCCAGTATTTTCTCCATTTATAAAAATGCAGTTGATTCTCCATTCCAATTAGAACGATAATGATTTTGCTGTATGAGTATGCAATTGCACACATTAAAGAGGTGCAATGAATTGCTTTGTGATTACTAGAAAGCTTTCCAGTGCAAAACAAACAGCAAATGCAGTAAATAAAATGTGAATTCCTGTTGCATGAGTCAAACAGTTTTCCATACAAGCACCACGCGAAAACACTGCAGTACTGTTTCAGCCGACAAACTAACTATGTTGAGAGGCAGTATTACATTCTATTTTTTCTGGAAAAAAAATTAAATTCTTGCAATTGATTCCATACGTATATTAAATCTAATTCATGAGACATGATGACATTGCTCAAAAGAGGCCTGCCATAGGATGTTTCCCCGATTGCCACAATAAAGAGCAGCTCCACATCATTGAGGCTTAAATGGACCCGTAACTTAGCTCACTCTCCCTCCAACAATAATGGTCGCTTGTGGTACTTTAGAGCGAAACTTGGCGATCAGATTAATTATTAAAGTAATAGATTACGCTAGCAATGATCGATTCAATCACTAGACCAATTTTATAACATGAAAATGGTTGGAGAGTAAAGTCTGATGACTGTTGCCATATCTGCCGCTGGGCGAAAGATGATGGGTGGGGCTCAGTATTGTCACCGTGTTATGCTGACCATGGCTTTCGGGAGGCAAAATATGCAGTCTATGAGCCAGAGCAAACACTGCTACCATCTATGGTAGAAAGCTGTTAGTTGGAGCGATCTATTCATAGGGCCCACGATAATAATATATTCTATAATAACCGACTAATTTCTAATGGTGATCATATAATGCACTGTTATGGGCCACAAATTAGTTGAAACCACGAAAGCTATTCCACCATAGGAGGTACTGACAAATTAAATATCTCTTCTGGACTTGTGGATCAATGGGAGCCGCCGCCATGTTTAAAGGGGCCTGAGTAATGAACGGCAAAGAAGTAGTGGATTGCAATTTTGATGCAATTCATCGACTTCATCCGCTAATCTTCCCAGCCAAAGTTTCCAGCTCCTCACGAGGAACCAGTAATCGGGCAAGAGCTGGCAACAATGCTTTGCTACAGGCATTGCTCATTTGAGCAAGTAAACACTTTTATGCCTCTGGGACATACAAAAAAAGTGTTATATGAAGTTCTTAATACAGTACCACTGTTCACGTGACACTGTTTAAATAATAAGGTCAACCAATTTACCGCATTTCTCGACAGAGCTTTTTTCAAGAAACAAGCTATAACTCCGCCACATTTTCCCAGGTGGTGATGTGAAATAACTGGGCTAGTAATGGCATACATGTGATAGGACATCCGGATAGATTAGGTGATAAATTAAGTCAGATCGTCGATTATGCTCTATACAGACCGGTTATATTGCAATATCGCATATATTGCAATATAACCGTACCTTTATTACAACATAACAGGCATTAGTTTTAATTCTCCGGCAAATAATACATCTAAAGAATGAAGAACATTTTTTGTGTATCATTTTCTATTTGTGTAATGAGAGAGCACCACCTGGGGGTTACAGGGGACATCTGCGTGGCCACCGCTGGGTAACCGGTATCCAATCTGGAGTAGTGATTCGATCTAGGCCAAAGGTAACGGGCGGAACCACGGATAATATACGGGAACCATCCAGAAGGTTCCATGAGGGGGCGTGGCGATAGGCGGAGCTTAGCTCCGCCGGGAGGCATATAAGCGTAGGCAGGAGAGGACTCGAGGTCGGTGTGGAAAGCCTCGTGTTCGGACTGCATTGTCGCTCTACTTCTGCTCGCCAATGACCACGTTGCGAACCTCCAGCGAAGCAGCATCTCCTCCGGGCAAGCCGCCAGTCAGCAGCGTGAACGGAGAAAGAGAGAGAGAGGTGTGCCACGGCCGCGGATGGGGACGGATTGTCAAGGCAGTGGGGGAAGCAAGAGAACTACCCGGAGAAAGAGAGTGCGGAGCTGTGCAGACATTCTGTTAAATAAAAGACACCAGTCTTTTATTTATGGAAGTCGTTTATTACATTGGTGTCAGACGTGGTTCTTCTGGAGACGGAAACATACAATGGAAAGAGAAATGTCCAAGCATCTCAAGAAGAAAAACCCACCTGTTGCGTCTTCCGACGACGACTAGGCGGTGACCCAGGACCTGCTGACCCCGGGATCTGTGGTCCCAGTTACAGGAACCGCGGCTGGTGAAGTCGCCGTGCCAAAAGCGGGCAGTGCGGCTGCGGCTTCTTCGCCGCGACAGGTGGAAGACGGCCAGAGGAGGATGGAAGAGCAGCTGGAGTTACTACGGACGGTGCTTCTCCAGCTGGTATCGCTCGTCGCTCTCGTCCACGTCGTCGGGGCACCCGCAGGAGGTACTGCCGAGGGGCAATGTGCAGAGGCTCGAGACTGGAGCCTCGGAGGGTCGCCCTGTGAAAACGACGGCCGCCATCGCGGGTGCTGGGGAGGCGTCCGCCATTACGTGCGCTATGGAGACCACACGGCAGGACGCCGCCATCTTGAGCGGCGCGGCTGAGATGCGGTCGGAGCCCGCCATTTCGAGTGAGCCGCGTGGCACGCTGGCTGCGGGGGCCGATGCTCCTGCTGGACGACAAGGGGTTGAGCACACCCGACGGCTTCCACATGTAAAGGAATTTGTCGCTGCCGGCGGCGATTGGAGTGACGTAACTTGAAGGTTTGAGACAGCGTTCTGGTCAGTGCAATGGTCGGAGGAGGAGGTGCTGGTCGCTTTGCCGACCGTCCTGGACGATGACGCTCTTGAAGTCTTCAGATCGATTCCTCCTGAGAAAAAGAAGACGCTTCAAAGTGTTTATGCCGAGATGGCGGATGTCTACGAACCACCTTGTGACACCCGACGAAAGTTTATGCAACGGAGGAGGGGGAGCTCGGAGTCTCCGCTCGCCTACGTAAGTGCCCTGATGGCGTTGGCTGTGGCCGCCTACCCCGATGTTAAGCAGGAGGTCCTTGACTTGTTGGTCATGGACTGCATGTTGGCTTTGGCAAGGGACATGGGGGTGGTCTTGCCAACTTGCGGGTATGATGTGCAGAAGTCCCGGTGGGCTGCTAGGTGTCTTCACGCGCACGAGAGCCAGCAGCGATGGTCCCAGATGGCTGCATGGACAGGCGACCCTGCTCGGGAAGGTGAGCCCAAGGGGTGGTCACCGACTAAAGTGGTGGATATCTCGCCGGAGCACACAACTACTGAGGGCGATCTGGCCGCTGCGGTGCCTCGTTGGAGTCGGGGTCGGGACAACCCGTCGAAGCAAATACAGACCAGGACTTTCTTCAACACACAATAAATGAGCCCTTGTATGTGTAATGAGAGAGCACACCGACGGGCAACGGAGGGCTGCATAGGCACTGCTGCATCGGTCATAGCCAATCAGGGCTAAGGGTTCCATCTGGGCCAAAGTTCATGGGCGGAGGTCATGAGTACATGCGGGAACCATCGGGAAGGTTCTGAGGGGGGCATGGTTAGAGGCGGAGCTTTGCTCCACCGAGAGGGATATAAGGAGAGGCAAGGGGAGGCCTCTGGGTCGGTGTGGAAGCCTGGAGTCCGGACTGCATCTCCGCCATCTCGTCATGCCACCAGCCACGTGGCAGTCTC